CAAGACATGCATCGATAGGGCCCGGACTTTTTCCCCTCCAAAGCTTCCCGAACCTCGAAGCGGGTAGGGCGAGAAGGGCAAGCCAGGAGCACCAAGATCCCTGAAAGCCCTGGCAAAACAAGGGCATCACAAGAAGTAAGAAGAGGTGCCATGCAACGATGCCTAAACCCAAAGACACAATATGAGACGACTCCTAAGACTCAACTACTCCAGAGCTCCCCAAAGCAAGACGCTGCAACCTCTTGGGCTTCTCTTGCTCGTTCCTGCTCTCGTAGGTCCTGCGAAAGGCAGAGCCATCTACTTGTAGTATTATCGTATATTAATATGCTTCTGTCATCGTTCTTGTTATTTGCAAGGAGGAGACCCATCAGCATTAGCGCGGTCTGATGCACAACTCTCGCCGCTCTACTGTTCATATAGAGCCTGCTGACAAACCAAGTCAAACTCAAATGGGAGTTTCCGAACATGGGGGGACCCCAATATAGCGCCCTAAATAGCAGGATCCTTACTATAAGGACCCCAAAATATTGTAACCCTAATTATGAACATGGGGGACCCCTATATAGTGCCCTAAATAGCAGGATCCTTACTATAAGGATGTATCCCTAATTTTCGGGAACGCCCAAATTGGAGATGCCAGCTCTCCTCGATGGCCAGCTGCGAGCGCTCCCACCCTGGCAAAATACCGAGGCCTTCATGATTACAACAGGACCCTGTGTGTCTATTCTGGTACAAGTATAGTATAGTATAGCATAGCCTTATTGACAACGGGGGCCCTTGCAGAAAAGGCTCACTGCCCTGCCTTCGAGTTGGCGGTGCCAGTCCGCAATCTCTGCCCACCTGTGTGGGGTTTGGCACCATCTGCCAGCACCCGACATGGTCTCACGCACGTAACATGAAACCATGTAGCAAGCTGGGCTTGATATGATTAGAACGCTGACGAAACACGGGGTTTCTGCGTTGAATCTAGCGCAGTTTGTGCTCGGCGCTGCAACGCAGCATAGATCTTCAATGATTGTTTCTAACATGTTGGATACTTTTGAGTTGAATCTGCGCAGACTCACACAAGTTCCGTTTGTAATTGTCTGGTTGCTGCGAGATTTAGCGGCACGAGTCTAGGATGAAGACCCTTGGTGGGGTATACCTCGCAGTGTTTTCTCATACTCTAGGCAACTTATGGGCAAGTCTTACGTAAGCTGCAAGCTCACCTCTTTCTCGAGCGCCACGCGCTACAAAGAGCAGCACAACATGAAAACACGCCTCGCGCACCCGGAATCTGGGACTCCGAGCTCGCGCGCCAAGCGCTCGCGCTCCTCGCGCTCACGGCGCAGCATCTCTTGCCGGCGGGCCTGCGCGTCGGATTCGGATCTCACAGGGATAGAGTGTTTTCGTCTCGCATGGCGTTGCAGAGCTGTGGTTAGTACTTGGGCAACCTGAGATCCTCATCGGAAGCCGCGACTCACGAGGCCGAGGCCTCTCTCTCCTGCTCTTCGGCCTCACGCATTCGCTCTTCGTAGGTCTGCGCCTGGCTGGAAAACCGAACCAACTTCTTTGCACTGCCTTCCAGCTTTCAGCCGGTCCTTCTCGCGCACGAAGTTGCGACATCTCGCCATCATCTCCTGGAGTCGGACTCAGTCGCCGGGACATGCCCGGTTATCACCGCTCCTTAACACTCCGTGAGGAATGCGTACTATTCCCATCTTACTCTCAACAAGCCGCCGAAAGCCCTTAAAAGTCCTGTGGGAGCGCGTCCGAAAGCTCACAGCTGCAAGCCTCTAGAATATCTTTTTTGCACACCTGGACTATGCATATGCCAGGAACCTCTAGGATCATCCACAATCCAGACCTGCTATGACATCTCCTCCATGCGGACAGCAGCATCTTCGTCGCTTTGGCTCTGGCAAGGTCAAGAGGGCAGCGCCCGAGGGGCAAAATAGGGCAACTGCTTCAGCCACTGGAGAAGAGGCGGCAAAAGCTGTGTCTTTCTGGCGTAACTTGCGAAAGTTATACTCTGACAAAACGCTAAACCCTGAATGAATCCCTTTCAAGGAACCCTTATGGATCCCTTTACAGGATCCCTAGACCTTAAACCAAGTCCACCCGCCTTTCGCCTCGCCGGCTTCACATCCGGCAACTCCTGTGCACACAGTGTGCACACGGACGACCTGACTGATTCAGTAGTATTTCTCCGTTCACCTCCATGAAGCACTGTACTATACCATTATACCATAATACTATGATACCATATAAGAAAATGCAACATAATACCGTATTACTCAGCATAACACTGGCCCTCTTAATATAGAAAAATGTAGAAAATCGTCGCTTAGCTTTGTTTCGCGAGGCTAATCTATGACGGGGGAGTCCTTGGCGGCCTCCTTGTCATTGAGGCCGAAGTCCCTGGCCAGGCCGCACCTCGGCATGGTATACTGTAGGGGGCCTTAATAATTCGAGCAGGGTCCCTTTAAAGGGGTCAAGAAGGGTTACAATAAGGGCTACTATAGTATAGGAGCCTTAAATAGCCTTAATAATGAGAAAAGGGTTTGGGGCCCCATTATACTATAGTTATTATAAGGTAATTATTGAAGGTTCTAGATTAAAGGAATGGAAGGTTCGGCCCCCTTGCGCGTTTGATAGCCTTTCAGCTTCACACCGGGACTGAAAGGCAAACCGCAGCGTTGACCCTGCCGAGTCCTCCGGGCATAGGCCGACAGTTAGCTGAGCCCAGCGCTGCTTGAGATACCGCTGCTGCTTGTCCGAGAAGATATGCCTGAACTTCCCAAAGGGATCGGAAGAGGGACGGAACTCTGCAAATGGCTGGGATCCTGACAAGTACTTCAGCATGGTTCGGTGCATTCGCTTGCCAACCTGGTCGTTTGAAAACTGTCCCGGAATCGACAGCACTGAAGAGCCCCTGACAAATACAGCGCAAGGCCCTAGTCACCAAGTCCCACCCATTTTGCCTGCAAGAAGGAACACCGTCCACCCACGACTCACGACTTTATAAAGTCCCCCACGTAAACGCGATGCGAAATGGCATACATGTAATCCACCACAATTCAGAAGAAGCCGTTTCCCGAAGTAAACGCAAGTCGCACCCTTGGTTGCCCGTATGCACAACAAACATAGACGCACTGAAATCCTGCATCTATCACATCCTACACTATGACATCCTATATATCCATATCAACCTCACCAAACATGCGGGTTCTGGCCTTGTCGTTCAGCCCATCAGCAAATTTCTCGCTGGCAAGCACGTTGTACAGCCTCGGCTACCACGAACTGGCCCACTGAACCTGTGCAGGCAACCTGCAGAGCTCTGAAGCGCAAAAGGATGCGCCGGGCACCAGCAGGCGCCCAGGAGGTCTAAAGCAACTGAGATGCTCGCTGGCTGACCTCAGCCAGGGGGAAGATGCAAAGCCGGCTGCCAGTGCAATTAAACGCTGCATTGCCAGGAAGGTGTTTACTTGGCTGCCTGTGCCGCTTCAGCGATCCGTTACAGGCCCGCGCCTTCACGGCACCTTCAGAGGCGACACGACAGGCCTGGGACTTCCACGGCAACGCAAGCTCCCAGCTACCACGTCTCGACTCGTCTTGTCTCGGCTTCGGGCTGTAGAAAGCCAGGATGCGCGCTCCTCCGGCCTGAGCGAAGCGGGTACCGTCATGGTTACAGCTACTGTACGGCCACAGCTCGACTGACTGCTCTCTGGTCAGAATAAAACCCACGCGAGAATGATGCTGCGCAAGCAGAGCGAAGTGTGATTGGCTGACTCTCCCAAAAAGCAACTCATCCAACACGTTCATTCATCAACCTGTCCAGTCAAATGTGCCGACACGCCCCACTCGAGGCCCCTGTAAGACCCTCTGCTTGCAGCCTGTTCTTTTGGAGCCTTCGGAACCATCTTTTGGACCCTGACGAAGCCGGGGCCGCCACTCCATTTTCAGGACCTTCTTTGGGTCCAATTCCTCAATAAGCGAAGCAGCTCCGAAGCTCCTACTGTTATGAACTGTTGTACCGCCGGGAAGGAACGGAACATCTCGCGCACGTGTCGCTCCACATCTCGTTCCGGTGGCAAGCCCTTTCTCAACTCGAAACTGGGTCTGGAGCCACGCCAGCGGCCTCCAACAGCAGCGCATCGAGTTTGCCCTTGGACTTGCCCATGGCCTCCATTGCCGTAGTAGGATGCGACAGGTCTCGGGAGCCCAGCCCAAGGCCCCGAATCCAAAAGCCTGTTCAGGCCTAACCCGCATCGGTCACTTCGCTCTCCAAAACCTTGATGGGAGGCCAGAAGGGAGGTTTAAGATTCTTGGGGTAGGGATTCCTGAATATGAACCCTATCATGGGAACCGATTCCCTACTAAACCCCCATAGGCTAAAACCCCTTTGGCCTCATATGAAACCTGCATCAAAACAATTTCGCCGCCTGGGCGGCCGAAGATGCCCAGCCAGCGTCAGCTCGCCATCAGGAGCCACTAGTTCACACGGCACGCATTGGGGTTTGGGCGATTTCCTCTCCTTCTGGGACTCCGATCGGGCAACTGGTGTCTGGAGGCTGCCGGTTGTAGGGCAGGGGGGCCTGCTGAAGTCGCAAACTGATGTTCCTTGTCTCTCTGCCTTTGTTCTGACTGGCCGATAAGGATCCAGGCTTCCGCTTCTGGGTTCCGGTCTTTGCCCTCGGCCTGGTCGGTTGCTTACTCTCAGACTTCCGGATCGCTATCATGCGCCTTGTCTCATGGATCTCGGTTGACGAGAGACTCCAGCATAATCATGGTTTTGGGTCAGATCCTGAAAGTTAGTAAAGCGCTGCACCAACCCTTGTCCTCGCACCGATTCGTTGCACTCCCTCTGAGCGCAAAACTCAACATGGTCCCGAACTTTCCGGTATGGGCTAAGTCTGATTTGACAGGATAAAATCGCAGTGGCCGCGGCAACATGCTGCTTAGGCGACTTTTTCGCGCCGCATCAGAAGCTAAGCAGCTCAAGCCTCACTGGCAAGGCATCAAGCTCCGCGCAGTTTCTGCCTCGGTCTCTTTTGTACATTAGCATATGTAGTACTCAGTACTCACTCGGAGAAACCATGTTGGGCAGCATGGCACTCCACCCGGATGAACAACATAAAGGCTGAGCGGTGCACGTGACCCTGCCACGCTGGAAATCCTCGAACTTGATGCGGATGTCTGCTGTGCCAACTCCGGAGACCTGGCATTCGATCGTGGCACCAAATGTCGCCTGAAGCGGCGCCCAAACCCCGATGAGGCCTTCTCTTCGACGGCTAGAAGCATGTCCAGCAAAACTTGTCCGACAGCCAGGACGTGAAGCTCCTCCTGTAAGGCAATTATCGAAAATGCAAAGAGGACCTGGCACTTGAAACGATCCGCATGTTGGACATGATGATCATCAAACTTCATTAGCAGTGTTTTGTTACGTTTCGGTTTCGGGCAGTCATGAACGGGCTAGCAGGTTCAACTGGCAGCCTCCGCATGCTTCAGCCACAGAGCCACTTTGGCATCTGCCGCCGTCCTCGGCGCAGCTGGGACAGCCACAAGGTTTGCAACAAGCTTCACGCGGGACCCTTACCTGATCTGATGTGGCACCGACCATCTGGCTTCATGTGAGATTGCCCTGAGGCAGCCATTGCTGGACCAGGCTGCGGCAACTCAGCTTCCCGCAAGGAGACTGCTACACCTCAAGAACAGCCACTGATCTCACTTGTCAGGCGACTTGGCGATGTAGCGGATGGCGTGTGACAGCTCCTGAGGGTGTCGCCGCACACGTCGGCATGACCTTCGAAATGGCTCCGTAGGAGACCACTTGTCAAGGCCTTGGCCCACGCCGTACTGCACGCTTCCCACGCTTCCAAGCCCGACACCAAAAATACCATGGACCACATCGTGATGCTGCCATGATATACCGGAAACTGCTTGCTGCGGCCGAAACTTGAAGGTGGCTGAGATCCCAACAAACCAAACCTGAAAGGCAAGACGGACACTGGTGATACAGTTTAATGTGGCTCACAGCACGCCTCGGTGCACGCCTGCGTGACTGACACGGCGCGGCCCGGCCTCGTTCAACAACGGCACGAAATCCTGCTGTAGCTGTGTCAATAACTCGCTGGAAGTTCCCACTGCAGGACCAAAGATGACAAAAGCGTGGGGTGCCCTGATTTGCCTGCAACTGGAATGAAAACACCCTCTGCGTCCAAAAGCCCCTTCTTCTGATATCTTCATCCCTGCTGGCTGCTGGCCCCCCCCGGGCCCCCTCCTCTGCGCTCCGCCGCAGGCCCAGAAGCCAGCGACCCCCGCCAGTCAGCGAGGCCTCTTCGCGAGCCTCCGTCTCAGAAACAATCTGTCGATGCTGGAACACCGAGAAGCACGGATCGCAAAAAACAAGAAACACCATTACATTACTGAACAATGTAATAATCTCCGCTATTCGTTCCAAAAAGACTCAGCTGGAGGAGCCGGGCCGGGACGGTGCCATCCGCGAACAGCGCCAGACCGGAGCCGGCCGGCCTCGGCGTCGGATGGGAAGAAGGAACCACGTGTCTTCGGTGCATAAGTACAAGACTGCTGTAATCGTGCTCTGTAAAAGACTAAGCGGGATAGCAGCATGCGTACCGAAGTCAGCGGAACCACAAGAAAAGCTCAATAAGACAGAAGAGCGCCACAGTAGAACAAGGGTGCACCATGTGTTAAAGCAATGTCTGGGCCAACAAGAATATTGAAGACCGAGTTAAGCCAGCACCGTGTAAGATATCATGTTACCACACATGGAGCAGTGGAATGCAAAGCGACGAAGCATCATACCATGGCATGTCCGAACAAGGTATCTCATGCAGTTCTGCAGCGCCTTGTATTGTACAAGTACCGGATCGTTTCTTGCGAGCAACAGTTGACATACCATCTTGACATCAGAAAATTCTGGCACCTCTAGTGCAGGCGTAATGCAGTGCAAGAGCACAACGCCGTGACAGCATCGAAGCATGAACAACACACAAGAAGCATCACCGAGAAGATGCGCCACAGCTTTGAGAAGGACATAGTTTAACACACAAAACGGTCTGGAACGGTGTGGCCAAAGAACTTTAACGCCCAACAGCCCTGACCTGTAGCACGCTGGCAAGCACCGCAACTACCTTCTCCTCAAACATGTGTGCTGCATGCACGTGACGGCAGAATTCTCTCGGACTCCCGGCAAAGTGCTGGGCACATCCTGGAGCTGGGCTTCTTGAAAAATCCCTCCTGAGATCAAATCACACTGGCACCACTGACGGAAACACGGTACAGAGACGATCGTCTATTTCGGCATGGGTAGGATGAGAATAATACGGATACAGAATCGCAACATGTCCACGACTGCTGGATCTCTTCCGGGAAGCCTGGAGCTAAAGATGTTGCATCATAAGGGAACGGGTCAGCAGTTCATACGCCCCCGCCGCTGTCCTCCGGCTTTGCGGAGAGCTTGTGTCCCAGGCTGACCTGTGCCAAGCCCGCAATCTCTGCTGGGTTCGCGTGCTGGACTTCGCTGAGACTTCCCAGAATCGTCGGAAAGTGCTTACGGACAGACATCTCATGACTCCTCTGCTGCATAATGTGTCCAAAGCTCCCGGGAGTGCAAGAAGGAGTGGCACACCTCCAGGAAACTCTTGAGCTGAGCTGCTGACCAAAAGCATCCGTCGAAGTTTGCCACAAGTTGAAAGGCTTCGGCACGGCGTACTTGCCTGCGCAGCACATCCACATCCGTGATGTCTCGCCCCTCATACTCTAACGAAAACTTCAAATCGACTCCTCTGGAACGAACGTGCCCTTACCGTCTCGTCATTTTGCATCCTGCATGGCTGAGTACACGAAGCAGGGCAACAAGTCCATAGTGTGCGAATCAGCCCGGATGTTTCAGGCTTGTAGGTTACAGCATACTTGCAAGATGAGGCATTCTCCTTTGCAGATTTTGCAGCCCCAATCACAAGGAATTGGGGAATTAAAGTATGTCATTACATGTAGGTTCAGCAAAATGCCGTGAATTACGAAATTATCAGTTACAAATTCATCACTCAGCGTGGATGTCGCATTCAGACAGAATCCAAATTGTCTCGTCATTGGGTAAGTGAGTCTTGACTCGCACTGTCGGCCAGAATCGGATCTGTGTACGTTGCAAGGCAATGTCTCGCATCCGACAATCCTGGCTCACTTAGTCCCTCTAATCCTGCTGGCCTTCCTGCTCCCACGTGGCAGAAACCCCGACATACCCCGACTGTGCGAACATCCTCGTCCTCAAACCGGTCCCTGAGGCGAAAAACGGCCTTCAGCAAGGCCCGCACAGGAAGCTGCGTCCGGCCTTGGCTGTGCACTCCGAGGTGGGCAAGAAGAAAGCCGCACACATACTATGCAAGAACTCGCATCTCCTGCTGAGCAAAACCGCAGCCACGAACCATCATCGGAAGCTTGCTGCCAGTCGGGTCAGGTAGAGGGGGCTTCTGCTTCAACCGCGGAAGTGCCGGTGTTGCGAGATGGTGCTGTGGGGCTCTCGCAGCTGAAAACCCCATCATGCCATGTTGGAAGGCTATGCCAAACCAGACCGGGACATCTTGGGCATGGACATCGTCATCCAGTCTGCCGCCTGGAGATGGGCTGCTCAGATTCCCTCATGGCACTGCAGCCTCGCAACTATCCCGGATGTGGCAAAGGTCCAGGCGGCAAACGGCTGGGCAGGCAGCGGGTAGCACGATGTCATGTCAGGCATCCTCGGGCACTCGAATTTCGGCCAACACCTGAACACCTCTGCTTGACACCCTGAGGCCCAAGCATGGTCTCGGAGTAAGGCGAGTCGGAGTAAGGCGAGTAAGGCGCCGGCCACCTTAAGTGCTTGTGGCCTGCCATACCCTAAGCTTTTTTTGCAGCAGGCCTCGTTGTCCAGCAGCCCGGTTACAGCAAAGAGCCCCTCTGTCCCCCGCTTCTTCAAAGCAAGGAGAGGAGTCGAGCTGACACTCGCGACGACACTATCCTGTGATCATGAGCGGATGTCCGCGATGCACCACAGATTTAGGCGCGTGCGACATACGGCCATGCACCGTGCAGACGACTGATGCTGCTGCTGCTGCTACTGATAGGTCCAGGTTCGGCTGCCGCTCGAGACCCCTCCTTACTCAGTTTAAACCAACGGCATAACTCAAGTCGTGGAGCTTGAAAGACTCATGACGGTAGTGCGGCTGGCGCTGGTGCATCCTCAGGCTTGGGTCCCGGGCCAAGTCTGCAATCCTTCCCAATCGCCGATGCCCTCCAGCATCTGAGGCGATGTGAAGTCGCCGAGTACGGCCTTCCGTGGGAGCATGGGCACGGAACAGCAGAAGCAGCATGTAGCAGCCAGGCAGCAGCAGCAAATGCAAGCAACTAACAGGGAGGCACTAACAAATCTGAAACGTACACAGGCTTCAGGGTTGTGCATGGGGTTGGCTTTAAGATGCTCTAAGTCCGTGAAGCGGCACGAAGATTTAACCTGCTGACATTCCCGGATCATTCCCGAGCGTTCCTAAAGTCCGCAGCGAAAGCCGGTGCTGCCACCACTTTTGTGACTCGCGCTGTTGTAATCCTTGGGTCCTTGGGCATTGGCTGACGAGGGCTGTGCCTGCAGTGATCGTAATGAGCCCGCGAGATGTGCGGACTGGAACCCTCCTACTCCAGATCTTGGGGTCCCATGCTCTCTCTGCAAAGCTCACCAATGACTCAGGGTACGATTGTCGAAGTATGAACTAATGATTCTTCTTAAGTTTTGGTGCAGCTGTGTACGGCTGATCCCGAGCTGCGATGGGAGATCTTGACAGGCTGCAGAGCATAAACGACTATGCGTAGAGTAAAAACATAGAAACACCGTGTAAAGATCCCTGTAAGGTTTAGGGCTCGTCGCAGCTAGGGATCTGATCGTGCAGGGGCCCGGTTGGCCAGAATCCCCAAGAAAATTCGGGGGCTGGCGCCACGCATATTTAAGCATTCCCTCCAGCTTCGAGCTTGTATCGCTCAGATGACTGGATCTGCAACATGTGGGTCTCTTCTGAACCCAGACGATGCCGTGACTTCAACATGCGACGGCACTTGCAGCTTCAAGTCTCAAGGCGTTGCCGTAATGGTAACACGTTCCACTGGTTTATGTGAGGACATCCTACGAGAATTGCCAGGCGGGTGCGTCGGGATACGTCTGAACAGCTTGCTGACAAGTGCCAGCTACGACAAAGCCACCATCTTCAGAATTCTCACTGGGCTCCATGGCGTTCCTGGAGATGTACACCGAACAAACTGATTTTGTCCCCATTGCAACAACCTTAAGCTGGTGTGTGTGTGTGTGTGTGTGCGTGCGTGTTCAACGCAGCATTAATATTCGTAGTGGTAAATGCACAGTTCACAGTCGACAGCTTGACAGAAATCCCTGCGTTAGGGACCTTATCTTGGCCGCAAATACGGGAGCAGTTCGGAATAGATTAAGACGCCCAGCTGGCGTGCTGGTGTGTGTGTTCAAACTTGTGGCTTGGAGATTAGCAACTCCGCAGCACTGCATGAGATCTACATGATTGCCCTGAACATACCTCACAGTACCAGTAGAGGCCTGGATCTGTTTCCCCGCCTTTATTCGGTGGAATGCTCCGACTCCGACACTTGGACGTCATCTGCGAGGTGCTCTGACTCCGAGCTTCTCTGGCGCAGCATGTCCTTCGTGGCTCGGCGCTTGGGAAGTTGACTCTTGTAGGGGGAAAGAGAATCAGCGCTGTTCTGTCAGGCCAGGCGTCATCGGGAGAGGGATCCTGGCTCCACACCAGCCGAGCGTGCGGATTTCGGGGTGCATCACAGGACTCGTCCGGCAAGGGGTCTGCCGACGTGTCTGCTGCCTTGGTTGTCAACTACGACCAGGCTCCCAAAAAGCGAAGGCCCAACCTCGCCAAGTTTCAGGGCTGGTCGGCTCTCCTGCGGCAAGGTGCTCTGCTTTTGCACAAGCCACGATGCTTCTTTGGGCACCCGCAACAGTCCTGAAGGCTCTTCGGTCTCAGACGCCTTCTTTGCTTCATCCTGGGGCACGCGGAGGTGCGTGTTGCCGAGCAGGATGGCGGATGGGGATGACGGTGCTTCCGGCGCAACCTGGAAACAGCGTGACTCGAAAGCCGCAGTCTGAAGCCCCGGAGCTCTCCGAGATCTGAGAAGCCGCGAAGCCTCCGACGGGATGAACTCGGCCCGGAGCTGCATCAGCTGGCGGCAAGCCTTTTCTGCCTGTCAGATACGTCCCTTTGCTCTCGTAGCTTGAAAAGCGGCTTCTCGCTGCGAGGGGCGGAAAGGGAACGCGATTCAACTCCAGCTGCCAAGTTGCCATGGCGAGTCGCAGTTCCGTGCCTTCCAGCTCCATTTCCGCAGACCTCGGACACTGAAAGACTTCAACGGCAGCTGAGGTCGAGAATTGAAGCATGCTCCAAGACTCGGTGCCGGTTACACCTGCTATGTGCTGCTGGTGGCCTTCTCATGGCATTCTCATCGATGCTGATTTGTTCCAGGTACCGTCGACGAGTGAGCCAGCCGGCCTCAGAAGTTAATAACCGACTGAACACTGTGGCAGCTTCACCCGGCTGCCGTTGAAGAGAATGCGCCGTTGCTTTGCTACAAAGGCAGAGCAGCAAAGTGATCATAAAACCGCACAGGCTAGAATCGGGGCCGTAATTATCTCAAACGATTCTGGGGTTGATTATGTTGTAATGACAATCGGGCTGTGGGGTATCTCATACCACAATCAGGAACCCTCAGGAATAGATGTTGCTCGCCTTCGCTGATGCCAGTTGAAGCTGATGGTCCATCCGCTGGCAGTTCTGCTGGTCCAGAAACACGCTCTCCTGGTGAAGCATGTCGTGCCACCGAAGTTACAACATCAACAGGTAACGTGCAACGAGGCAAGATGCACTGAGCGTGGAAAGCATCTCCCACCGTCCTGACGAGCCAAGAGCTCATCCAGCGCTCTTCCTCGAAAACAGCCATCAAGCTGGTAAATCGGCTTAGGGCTTTAGGGTTTTGAGGCCGCAGGGACAGGGAGGCCGAAGAGCTTGTCCAGAAGAACAAAGTCCAAAACCTTCCCGAACCAGGTCCAAGTTACGCACGCTCATGTTCTTGGACAGTGACCCGCCGACCCGCAACCCAAACTCTTCACCGAAAATACCTGAGTTCGGGGCGCACAGAGTTGGGCTTGACTAGGGGGAAAATTAAGCGTATGTTGAACAAAGCGTCTATCGACTACTGAAGAGCTAGGAATGAAAAACAAAAGCTTTGTTGGCAAAAGCTTGCGATGCCAAATATGTTCGCAACGGCTTTGTCCACGGCATGCTCCAGTTCTGTCATCGGGTCATAGGCATCACCGCAGATGTAGCCTGATACAGGAAGTGGCACTTTGGGGTTCCACTGACGGCACTGCAAACATGTGGCAGGCCGTCTGGTAGAGACAAGAGGCTCTCTTGTTCCATGGGGCAAGCCGACTCTTCACCCGGTCCCCACATCAGATGGGGCAAAGGAACTTGAGCCCTCGAAGCTCGCACGTTGCCATGGACGATGAGACTTGTTGAACAGAAGGCTGACGGCTGCTGCTCGCTGATCCCCCATACTCACTTGGGTTTGTAGCTGGCGACTGGAAGTTCAGAACAGTGCTCTGGCCGCATAGCCTCGACATCTGCTAGAATGTCCCGAAAACCCGTGCAAGTGCCAGCCGCCCTCGAACTTTCTACCTTCCGATTCATTACTTCACATTCCTTTCAGCCGGAGCTTCCAAGGCCCAAGCCGGTAAAGACGGGGGGAAAGCCATAAAGGCAGCTGGCTCCCATCGAGACCAGCACCTCAAGAATGAAGTTTCGACTCACAGCTTGGCGAAGGCAAGGGTTCTGTGCGATTGCATGTATTGCCGCACTGAGATGGAACACTACTTATTCGACTTGACACATTCCACATGGTGCCCACTCGGTGTCTGTGTTCTGGGAATCTGTTAGCCGCTACCCACGTAGTCCACCCGCTGTGCTCCGAAATACCCTACTTGGATGCTTCATCTGGAACCCCAACCTGCAGGACTCCGAAAACGGGAGTCGGTGACACAAGACGATATGGGAGTTTCCGAAAACAGGGGACCCCAATATAGTACCCCGAAATAGTAGGATCCGTATTATAAGGACCCCAAAATAAGGTACCCCTAATTTTCGGAAACCCCCATATATGCCCGAGGACACAACCACCCTGCAACGCATTGGAAGCATGGGGTGACTCGTGTCACCTTCTGCAGAACCAGTTGCCCGACCATTCCTCGTGTCCTGGCTTATCTCTCGTGCACTCACTATGGGGGTGCGCATAGTTTCGCGGTTCTAGTTTCAGATCGGCTGCCGGTGAGTTTCGGATCACGGGAGTGAGTTTCAAGGCGTCCGAGCACAGCCCGAAACTGACACCACGCCCCGAAACTGACCACCTTGCACCCTGAAACTGACCCTCGCCCGCCCCGAAACCGGGGGTGCTGCGTCGGGATGTTGCCAGGTGACTACTACAATACCACTCGAGTAATACTAAGACTACTACTGCTAGTACTGCGAGTACTAAATGCTACGGTTCTACTAGCGACCAATACGAGTAGTAATTGCCACGAGTACTACTTACTACTGCTGCTTGTACTACTAATTAGTTACTAGTCTTGCTAGCGTACTGTACTATAAACTGGCCACACCCCGATCCGAAACTCAAGTCCTGTGGATCCGAAACTGACCTGGCCTCTGCCCCGAAACTCCGCCCCGAAACTCAACAACGAAACTACCCTCGAAAACCCTGAAACTCGCAACTTCCACTGAGGGAGCTCTCGCGACGGGCAGGGAGCATTGGAAACCAACCTCACGCTGGGCGCAGCTAGGCACGTTGCGAATACTATTCGTGTCGCATGGAAGCGTCCTTCGCAGCATGGGCGGCCATCAGCATAGCAAACCTTGCGAACCGTGGGCAAATCGTGCCAACTTCAGCACATCCGTGCTATGGGGCAGTCTTTCTCTCGCCTGATATGCTGAGTTGATGTTTTGTGAGATTGTATGTGCGCCCACCAGAAGTCCTAAACTTCGTTCCGCGGCATGCCTTCGCCGTCACATCCGGTCTACGCGAAGCCGCCAAAGTATTCGCATTTTCGCGTGCTGGTGGCAGGGCCAAGGGCCAGTCTCTTGCAACAAGTTCATGGCATAGATTCCTCGAAACCTGGGATCTGGGCATGCTTGCACCCATCGCAACTCCGCAGTTGGATGTTGGTGGAGTCTGCAAGGATGCCCTGCGCCACCTGCACAGGAAAACCCCAGCGCTGGAAGTGTGCTGAAATACAAGTTCCGAACCACTACACCCGGAACGCCAGCCAACTAGGGCTTGCAAACGAACTGTGGCTTCTGCATGCTGAGCGTATGCTAAGAAGGCGCTCGTGCTTCAACCTACACTTTCAAGAGGAGGCCTGTCGATAGCCACAGGGCAGACGGAACACTGCTTGGGCCTCGAAGCTCCAACAGCGAACCTGAGACTGTGCGTTCGACACCGGCACTTGCTTGTTCGACTGCATTTCATTGCTGTCTACTTCCTGGGTAAGCCACGGCCAGCGGCCAACAAGGCGGGATCGTTTCGGAGACGCATGGTCAAGACAAGAGGGGCTTATGAGAATTCGGGAACTGCGACACTCTAAGCCATGCATGACCTGAAGGAGAATTTCTTGAGAACAGAAACAGCACTGGGCTGGTAGTCATGATGACTACCAGCCCCATTTTTGGACCCTAGCGCTGCCAGGAATCGATTGCGGTATCAGCCCCACCGTGACTCAGGAGCACTCGGCGCATCGTGCGACAGGATTGGTAAGACCCAGGCGTAGGCGTCGAGCCGCACCGGAAGAGGGTTGAGCCTGCACCACAAGACGCTTCCGAGCAGCGGGGAAAGAAGCCGTGTGGGTACATAGGGTTTTGGTCGTTGCTCTACTTACTCATGTGCGTGCCTGTTTCTTTGTGCGTTTTGTTGTGCCATGTGTTCAGGGTATGTCTATTTCAAGGTTTACATGTGTCTGCATGACCTGTTTATGCGCATGCATCCATGCGTGTTCATGTTCGTCTGCACACGACAGGAAGATCCTGACGCACGTCTTGGCAATATTAAAACCCTACGCCCTCAACTCCTCCTAACATCCTAAGAACCATCCACCCGGAACCGGACGTCTGAAGAAGCATCATATTGCGGAAAAACCCTAAACCGTAAACCCCTAAACCCATGGAACCCTGAAAGCTTGACCGTCACGACCGCAACGCACATTTTGGGGGCAGTCCTGCATCGGTCTGCCAGATCCCCCGCTGTGCCCAGGCTATGGCCTTCCCCGAGGATTGCACACCTCAGTTCAGGGCTCTTTAGAAAATAATGTGGTTTCCTTGTTAAGGTAGCTTAAACTAAATCCACATACATCTGTGTGTGTAACAGTATACTGAATAGAATGGAATGGAACTAGTTCGAACAGAATAGAACTAGAATAGAAAGAACAGCATATATACAATATACTATATGTTCCAGGTTTCTCCCAACCCAAGGTTCGACCCTCACAAGTCAATAGGCTGGACGAGGCGTCCGTGCAGCTGTTGCAGGCTCGATTGGTAAGCCATGCTGCATTTGGGCAAGTTCAAGAGGCTGCCGATTCGTTGGGAAGAGGTACACAAAAGCTTTGGATCCCACGAGCCCCAGGATATAGGTCAAAGGTCAAAACGAGATGGGAGTGGGACCAAATAATGGTCCGAAAGCTGATCAACCCAAGCCCACTTAACCCTCAACCCCCAAAATTCCCCAAGTTTTGGGGCCAGCGGCGTTGATAAAGAAAGCGTACGAAACCCGTTTCATGAACTGCAAGACTTCTCCTTGAGTTCGTGACAGCGTGGCCGGAAGAGCTGTTCTCCTCCTCGGGGCACAGGCAGACTGAGGCAGACGTGACATCACCCTAGGGATCTAAGGACTCATATTTAAAGGCTTTTGGGCCCAAAGACCATACTATATAAGGCTTTTGGGCTATTTTGATCCCTAGGGTCACAGCGGCACACAGCGCCACATGTCAAATTCTCAAAGCACCTGCGGCGCAGTGGGCAGCGCGACCGATGAGCACGCACCTTGCTCATGGGCTCTTGCTGGACATGCTACCCAATACCTCCATGCCTTGGCTATGCATGAAGCAGAGGTAAAGCTTTGACCCCTTTCGTGCTCCGTTGCTCCGGGGGTTGGGGTGTTGGCGAAGTTGACTTCGCATGAAGGTTCCTTTCGTGCTGCGTTGCTCCGGGGGTCGGGGTTCTGGCAGAGTTGACTCCGCATGAAGGCTTGACCCCTTTCGTGCTGCGTTGCTCTCGGGGTTGGGGTGCTGTCGAAGTTGACTCCGCATGAAGGTTTGACCCCTTTCGTGCTCCGTTGCTCAGGGGGTTGGGGTGCTGTCCAAGTAAGGTTTGACCCCTTCGGTGGTCACAAGGCCTCTCTTCAGGAGTCTGAGTGTGCAGACCCAGCGGAAAGTGATGTTGATGCGCTCCTGGGGCAGCTCAGAAGGCTCATGCTCTTGCTCTCGCTGCTTGACTGCAGGCTTGGCTTCTGGCGTGTCGGATGGGCTCCCGAGGGTTGCACTTCGGCACGAAGTGCAGACAGTGCCGCTGCATACGGCCCTAGGCAGATATGCATCGTGAGACCGAGAGCCGCGAGCTGCAAAAGAGAAGACCAACTGTGTGGCTCTTGTGGACAGCTGGTGGACCTCCATAGTCAAGATGTCCCCGTCGCAGAGGTCGGTTTCAACGATGCTTCCGGTCACTGGATCCTAAGCATGTTCACATAAACTGGGGTTCTCTTTCTGTTTAACATTGCAGATGCGAGGAGCTGCTCTCGGAGCCGTGGCCCCGCTTACACTCACGCTAAACTTGTCGCGGAGACCATTCTTCTTGCCACAGCTGCTGTTTCTAATGAGCCTGAGCATGCCCTGCTACCGACCTGAAAGTGCTTTGGTAGATCTGTTTGAATGGCGGAGTTGCACCTGGCTCCTTTCTTGCAAGCAGCTGAATGAGCTATCGCTTTCGAAGGGCCCCCTCCCATTTTCCATTATTCTGACTCAACCCGAAAGACGAGAATCGAATCGAATATCGCTCATGTCAAGACTGACACTTCGACTATCTACAACAACAGCCTCTCCTCCCAGCTGCAAGCATCAGCTGCGCAGACTTTTTCGTGCATGCCCGCGTGCTGGACAGAGATTCACCAAGCCTCGCCAATTTGCAAAGGCAGCGTACCATCTTCTGCCATCAATCTACAGGCTTCCGCAGGATCATCTTGCAGGTCTATGGCAAGCAATATGCCGCTTTGCGGCAAGGTACCCGGCTGTGCCAGGTGAAACTGGAACAGGAGCAAGCTATTCAAACATGGCTGCGTCCACCATATCGTCGAACATGCTGACATCGCCAAGGCCCTGACGACGCAAGACCGGCTCCTAGCACGGGGTGCAAGGTACTTCGAAGTCACCAGGCCAACTGGCAATAGCTAGCATTGCACAGCCAGGATACACGACTGCCGGCAGCTGCATGAAAGGCAAACTTCACTCCTTCAAGCTTTGACCTAGTAGCCCTTCTGATGTGGGCAGTCCTCCATCGTCAGGTCGACGACCGTGGAGACGCGGTCTTCCTTCTCCATACCGGCCCACATCTCGACTATTGCCTGTTCGAGCATCTGTCAAGATTGCCAAAGTCGCTTGCCAAGACATTGCTGGTGAGAGGGGGGGAAGAAACCCATGAATCTGCGAGGAGGACGATGAATATCGGGCTGATGCAGAAGGAGGTGGAGGAGGGCCATGGTCATGGTTATGGCCTGTCTAAAATCATGATGATGATGATGACGAGAAGCAGCAGGAGGATGATTATGGTACCTACGATGCTGACATGATGCTGGCGGTGATAGTGCTGATGGTGGTGGCAGGTTAAAGGTGATGAGTTCAGTGGTGATGGTGAAAGTGGTGATGGCGATGATTGGGTGATGATGTTGAAAGCTGTGGTATTGTGCTAATAAGCTGCCAGTAAGTACACATGCGGCCTATCCCTACACTTGGGTGAACCAGCTGAATCTGGATTCGATTGAGACGGCCGATGGCCAAGTTTGGGCAAGATTGCAAGCAAGATTGCAGCAATCTTGGTCTACATGGCAAACTTAAACTAGTCGGCAAAGCATGTACAAGTGGACACGGCGGGGCAAGATTGTCAAGATTGCGCAGGATTGCAAGAATGTCCAGATTTTGAAAAAATGCTTGTTCTGGAATCCCGGCACAATGTACTACTCCTACTACTCCTCCTCCTCCTCCTCCTACTACTACTACTACTACTACTATCACTATCAGTACCAACACCACGACCACCACCACTACCAGCTGCTCAGCACGGCGAGTAGCAGGTGCGCGTACTATCGGTGCTGGTCAGATTGATTGTGCTCTGCTAGAAAGCTAGTAATAAAGGGGCCTGAGTAAGGAGAATAGGGTTTGGGGATATATTTCACTATAATTATAGTTAGAACCCCAAAAATAGTTTTTGTATTTATTTAGGCCCCTGTAGTACTTCAGGAACCAATATTGCAACCATCCACCGACACCGTGCTGCAACTTGCGAGCCTCAGCACCCACCACGAAGTCCAGCTTGTCCTTCTGCCTGGAGTATGGGCGCATTTCCGAACATGGCCCAAGCAGACAGAAACAATCAGAATAAAGCGATGGACCTCACCGGAAAGTGCAGGAGGACGTGTCGGAAAGCAAGGACAGTCAAATGCGTTGTTCATCAGAATATGCAACAGGTAAGAAGCCCAGCCAAACGCGGGTGGCACCCAATCAGACGCGGCACAACCCAATCCGAAAACATGGCCGGGGACATCTCGTTAAAGCTGTTTACGGTTCGATCTGAACCGTTGACAAAATCAAGAAACATCAAGGCACCGGATCAAACAAACAAAGGAAGGCAAATCCAAGTACGACATCGAAATCGAAGAAGGTTCATCTTGAGAACAGGATGTTTGACCCTTCGATCCGGCCGGAAAAGCGATTCCTGCGAAAGACTTCATCTATCCTCATCTCCCCACCCGTCCATGCCCATTCTTGTTTTGTTGTAGCGTAACGGTAACCCGAAAGCCGTTTCGGAGGAGCAAATCGTGTACCTGATGTTGATGTCGCTCGTCCGGCGCTCGGGCGTTTGACGGATTTCGGCTGTCTGCTTCCTGTCAGAAGCTTCTCCCTCGTAGTTTACTCGATACTTTCAAGCTTCACAGTGTCCCTTGGCCTTCCCGGATTCCTGCACCCGGGCGCCACGCAGAAGCATGCATTCCTCACACTCCCTCGACTACGCTCTTATCCGTGTTTTCCTCTCCTTCAGGGGACAGTCTACAGCAAGTTTAGTTTATCACTTATATAGGTTTTAGGCTGGAGGCTGTCTGGCGTTCACATACTCCTGCTTCTCTCATAAATGCCCCGAGTCTGCACAGCCCTGCATCGCAATCACCTGGTGCAGGAATGTGATCGCATCGTGGCTTATTGACCAAGCGGCTCGGTCCAGATCTCCACCGCAGAATCTGGGGCTGAGGAGGCCAACAAAGGAGCCTCCAAGTCCTGGAAGTGCTCGAGTTTCAAGAGGATCAGGGCTTGAGGCCTGGGGAAAGCTAGCATCGTCACGATCACACAAAAATTAAGAGGATGAGGATAGTGGTCCATGGTGAGATGTTGACGGCGATGCTGAGAATGATGCTTTTCGAGGTGTCTTTCGCAGTCAGAGTGGCACTTATAACTTCTGCTCTCAAAACAGGGGGGGCTTGCGGCTTTTGGGTTTTGGGGCCCTGAGGGCTCTGGGCGGCATGGTACTACTAGTATTAATATTACTATTCATACTACTATTAATATTACTATTAATATTACCATTAGTATTAGCATTAGTATTAATATTACTATAAGTATTGAAGAAGCCCCGGTTGTTCGGGTGGCTGTTGGCTTCGCTGCAGATCCTGTTCTGACACACGAAAGAAGCCTACAGGCAAGTGCTGCCAGATCTCCTGTACTCTTCTGTGGCCTCAGATAGACTCGAATCTGCAGATCAACTGCGCCCTGCATGGCCTTTCAGGTTAAGCGTGGCAATGTGCTAACCATGAAGCGTGTAATCCTTGTCAATACAAGACTCAAGCGGGCAACTGAGATGCATTTTGGTCAAATTCGCACGCAGATTATCTCGAACCAAGCGTCATCTTCCGACGGGAAGGTTGGAACGCGTGTTCCGCACTCCATCGTTTGTACGCTGTACATCACTTTAAAGACTTCCATGTGTATTTGCAGCGCGTCGTTGCAGTAAGACGCGAAGCACTAGCTCAGTAATGTGAGGTCTTCGGTACAGCTGCCGGTCAGACAGTTCGGTCCCATCAAGGCACGGAGACAAGGGATATGTCGACCACACAACAGTGTAGGTGCTGCAGATTCGCACGAGTTCTGCGAATGTCTGAATAAGGGGACCGGGTCTGACGCGCATGCAGACGAAATATGATTAATTAGTAATTAGTCTCCGACACACAGACTCCCTGATCAATGCCAACCTTTCATGATGCTCCGGGTTGTTGTGTTTCGTGAGGTGCACGGTTTAAACACCAGCCTCAAACCGGTGCGACGATTATGCAAAGACAGGTGAAACCTTATCTTCGCACAGCATGAGGGCTACGCGGCAGCTCCTGCGTGGCACAATGCGCACATCATCAGCATGTGATCCTTGCACTTGATCTTGCCAATACTTAAACAAGAAGGAACAAACTCAGCAGGACACCTAGAGAGATGAGCTGTGCTTAAGCTCTCGTTCAGATGAGATAGAATCGGTCCACCCAGCCGTCATCTTCTGACGGCGTGGTTTTCCGTTCTGGATCTTCGCACAGGAAAGACAATTCTTTCACGTGTTGTAGATATATTGTGCTCGCACATTTGGTTGGAGCGCCGTCATCTTCAAAGTGGCTCTAGATCAGCAGGCGACTTTGGTGTAACATTTCAGGGCATTAATATACAGTGGAACAGTCCAGCCCGTACTTGTAATAGAGCATAATAGAGCTATACGTCTGCATCCACACTTGGGTTAGTGACTGCTGCACGCAGTCGCATGCAGATCGCATGCAGAAATTTCTCCGTTCTGGGCCTTGTCAGAAGTATCGTGCTCCAACCTTTAGTAGGGGTGCCGTCATCTTGAAAGTGGCCTGAAGCTCCAGATCAGCACGTGACTTTGGTGTAATACACCAAGGCATATACAGTGGAACAACCCACCCCGTACTTGTAATAGAGCTAGGTCTGCGTCCACACTGGAGCTCTTGGTTTAATGACTGCCGCACGCAGTCGCATGCAGATCGCATGCAGAAATTTCTCTCCAGTGGGAGCTCTTGAGAAAATGACTGCTGCATGCAGTCGCATGCAGAGACGGAAGAAGTCTAATTATATACGCGCCGAAACGAAACACAGATGCTTGGTCTGTGTGTTTCGGCACCGGACAGCATCTGCAATTGGATCCAAGAAGGCTCACTAAGGGAAGCCCTTCTTCACCATGCTTCACCGGAGTTTCAGCATCTCTAGCGCCTAAAGAAAGAAACTGACTTTTCCATCCGCACCAAGCACTTGCGTGTAAGCTGGCTCGTGTCTCAAGATGGTGCATGCCTGAGTGGGTTTGATGTTGGCATCGTGGTGTGCCGCCATCTCAATGGGCGGGGCGACGGCCGTCTTCATGTCGTCTGCGAGATTGCATGCGGTGGCGATTTGAGATCCAAGCTCGCTGTTGGGAACACCTGTTTCCGCTCTTGCCTCTGCTTGTGCTGTTGATTCATAGTGACAAAGCCCGTGTGGCAATGGTAACGACGTTTCTGTAGGCATGAAACTCTGGCTCTGAATACATCTCCGTGGTCCTTTGCCCCGCAATGGCTCCAAGCGGAGTGGAGTCGCTTTTTGAAAGCCCGGAACAAACTGGCCGTCGATGTTTCGGATGCCCTTCTGCGCTGCGAAACTATCGCGGAACCGAATCACAGCATAGCCTCTCGACTTCCCGTCCGGAAAAAAGGGCATATCGATTTGGATGTCAGTCAGACCCTTCGACTCGAGGAAGTTGAACAAGATTTCCGCCTCACACTTTGCAGGGATGTTTCGCAGGAAAAGCGCCACAGATTCCGCCTCCTGGTCCTGGGCCCTCAGTGGTCTCGGGAACGAAGCCATGGGGGTCTAGGCCCTCTTAAAGAGTTACTCGATACTAAAGATACCCTAAACGGGCGTGGCTTTGAGCCGAAATAAAACTATCATACGAAACACTTCACCAAGCGAGCCCTGAAAGCATTGTTTACTGCCTTTGGGTTCGGGATGAGGGTGTAGTGCTCGGAACCCACAGCCCCCGAAGCTAAAACGAAAGTCCTCGACGAGCTGCCACACGATGGAGTTGTTTGGCACTCGGATGCCAACCTCGCGGCGTTTCCAGACCTGGCAGTTTTCTGCAGCCTGAGGATCTTCGGATCACTGGTTCGTTATGTTTTGCTTGCGATGGCAGAAATGAGGCTTCGACCCCAAGGCCACACAAACGTGCCCGTGTGAAACAGTCTGGTCTCGGTTCACCTGTATCCTCGCTCCAACTACTGCTACGGTTGCATGGCTGTTTGGATCACAGCCAGGATGGGGATTCAGTGGGGGCAGGAGAAGGGGCAGCAAACCCCACGGTAACACTTTGGGGCTCCTCTTTCAGACAAGCGCGTTCCGTGCTCTGATGCAGTGCCGCTGCATGTATTTTCGATTATGAAATCGCTGTGCCTGCCGCATGGGCTTTGGAGTTTTGGGGAAATGTTGGACTGGTCCCGGGAAGCTGGCGCTGGTCTTGTTTGGGGTCTTCGCTAGCTCACTTCTCTCTTGTGCTTTAACCGCTACTTACCCCCGTATTCCGCACTCTAGTACCAAGTCACGATCTCTGCGGGCAAGCAACGCAGGTCGGTGCCGCCGAAGATAACAACTGCAATCTCAACAAAAGCGACAAGAAAAAGAAAAGAAGAACAACCTGTTGAGGAGGGGAGGTGGAGAAGAAGGACGACGACGAGACTTTCCTCATCCCGTCAAAGCAGCCATGATGATCACCCTGGGCCGATGCTGCAACGAGCTTGAGCGCCAATGTAGGCTCCCAGCTCATATTTGCCAACACGAGGCGAGAACTTCGCCACGATGCTGCGACATAAACGTCTTCGCAAGGAAAAGAGCGAAGACATGAGAAACGTCAACAGCCTGTCCATTTCATCTACAGTACCATCAGCCGGCAGCTGGCTAAATGATGCTAAATGGCATTGTAACAGACCAGCCCTTTACCCCGGCACCCCGAGAATAGCAACCCCCCTCCCTCCACCTTGCTTCGGCTCTTGTGGTCCATGACAATCCGCGGCACTTCGCCAGATGCCCGGAGTATGAAGGTGTAGGGTCCTGGGCGGCTGCGGCTATCTGTAAACTTCTGCGAATACCAACATGAGCACACAGTTACCGCAGCCTCAGTAACACGACAGTAGCTGTCACGAGTGTCCATGTCACACGTGTACATGTATGCACATATCTTTATTCATTGATCTCTACTTACTTGCTTATTTGCTAAATTATTTACGTGCATACATACACAGCTACTGCGACAGGCAGTGCCGTTCTTCGCTCTGCTTGACGGCGGTGGTGGTGGTTGTAGTGCTACAGTGCTGGTGGTGCTGGTGATGGTGCTGGTGCTGGTGCAGCTGCTGGCATGCTGGTGTGCTGGTTCTCTGGTGTGCTGGTTCTCGGGCTGGCGGCGGCAGCGGCGGTCGGGGACGTTGTGTTTTCAAGCTGCCGCCGTTGCTCATGCTGTTTATTCAACTGTTTATGGCACTGATGGCTGGCAGCTGCGGCTGAGCAGGCCTGTCGTTGATACTTTTCCCACCCCCCCCTCCCCCAAAGTATGCAAAAGGGACTTGACCGGTCAGACAAGCTTCCTGGAAGGCACGCTTTCATATTCTGAAACCATTTGCGAGGAAGCGCCGCCACATCGCAGTATTTCGAAGCCATCGACAAGTCTGAGCACAGCAGGCTGAGTGGTTTCCTCCTGCGAACTCGATGAATCGAGCAACCACACAACAAATCACACAGCTTTCACTGAAAAATCTGATATCAAATATTCCATTTTCTGCAGGTGGCTGGTCTGCTGCCACACCCTTGATGTCGTAGATCCGCCGCACGCCACTCTTGCTGCTCACAGGCGTAACATAAGCATGCTGAGTATCAGTGGGGATCACGCCCATGCCATTTCCAACTAAGCTCTGAAACACAGAGGCCAGTTGTGAGACATGCGGCTCTTCCAGAGGCTCCTCAATTACGGCATCCTCCAAACTCACGTACAAGGCTTCTGAAGTCCTCGTCTTTTTGCGATGCTGCCGGCGAGCATTGCATGCTGTGAGTGCAGCCCCTGCAGCCAGGCACCACCAGCGGCCTGGCTCTTGGCGCTGCTTTCGGGCAATTAAACTCCTCCAGCTGCCCCATGGAGCCGCCAAGCTCTTAATACCTAAGTGTCGCAGGGGTATGCAGGAATGGGCTGGAGTTCGAGTCTGGTTGCACTCATCGGTTCATCGATGTTCCTGTCGAGATGCCCCAGCTGTCTTGGGGTGCAGGGGCCCGGGGGCATGGTGACGCCACGGATCGGACCGACCCAAGAGCTGCGAGCATGGCCCGGGCTCTGGAGGCGAGGGCAGCGGCTTCAGGAACTCTCATGTGAAGCTTCGGGGATTTAAGTGGCATTTGCCCCATTGTTCGACCGATGCTTGATATTGCAGAGCGAGGTTTGGTGGCATTGGATGTTGCGAGAACATGGCTGGGAAGGTGGCAATCTGCAGAACAGAGCCCGGAATGCAGGCGCTACTAACGTCGTGCTGCCTCGGGATACTACCCAGAACACAACATGACTGACATGCATGCGCTTTGAACCCTAGCCCTGATCTTTTGTTGCTGCCGGACTCAAGTCTATCCGGGCTACGGCCTGCAATCATCTTGACCGAGGCTGACACTCCGAACCGAACCCTAATCCCTTTTGCACAGAACCCTAATCACCAAACCCTGTTGACCCCATACGCGAAAATTTTGCTTCCTCGGACGCCTTGAAAGCTGAGGCCAGCGGCTGCTCCGTTCTTCAGTGCAATCCAGAACCTGAGCTGCTCTGGATGCGATGGATTGAAGTTGTTGCGAGTATAGACGTACTATGGCTCATCTGCAGGATCCTCTGAAGCCTTCTGCCACGCAGTAGGCTTGTCAAACAAGCACTCATCGCCTTCCTTTCTTCCTTTCTGATGCCTCACGGCGAAGTCTGCCTTTCCAACGGCTAGAGAGATTGAGGCCAACCCGAGCCAACCCGCACTGGATTGCGAGGCCGAACACGCTTCCACCTCAAGTACTTTCTGTGTCGAGGCATACTCGCCAGCCTTCCAAAGCGTCCGGTGGACCGAGGATCTGTGATGGGGGACACTGCAACCGTTGAGACAATTCTGCGCAGGGCTGCCGCCTACGAACTCCGACGGTGCTGGTAGCCGAGCTTATCATAGAGATGCTGAGCGCCGGTCTCGCGGGTCGCTCCGAGAGAGATGCTGACCACTGGGCAGTCGGAGTCCTCCCATCTTGAGATCTTAGGTCCATCACAGCTGCAACTGCGTTGGGTTCCGTGGGCCTGCCGGCCTGTGGCTTCATAGGTGGGTTGCAAGAGTCATCACAAGCCCGCACAAGATAGCAGCCAGGGCCTTGCCGCAGAAGAGCGATTCATCGTCTGCATGCCAACCTCTTTGGAAAAAGACTTCTCAGCCAGGCACTGTGCCTGGAACAAATCAAATCAAATCATACTCAGACTCGTTCTTTAGCAAGCGATGGCATTGAGACAGTGTACAACAGCAAATGCTGATACACCCGACCTGCAACCGCCTTCCCTTCCGCTGACTGCGACAACTCCATAAGTCTCTGGGCGCCCCCGCCCACACCCTGGCGACCATCACGGTACAGATTGATGTTGGCGCTGTTGGGCCAAGCCTCCTCTGAAGAAGAAGATTTGGGGCTACTACGGCCGGCAAACAGAGATCTGCATGCATGGTGCTTCTGGAAAAGTTGCGATGACGAACAGCTCGCACGCCAAAGAAAGCTTTGATAAAGGATGCTTCTGCACAAGCTCTTGTAACTTGTGTACTTACGTCGAAGCATGCCTGCCTTCTCCAATCCGGGGAAAAGGTCGCCGAACACGTGCTGCATGATCTCCTGTCAACTGAAGTCGTGGGCTACGGCTGAGTCCCCACACGCGGGGGGGGGGGGGGGTGGGGCAACTTCATCAGAGAAGCATCTGTGTGATGAGCCTCTAGCGTTGTTCGCGCCACCTGCTCTCTATCTCCCCCTCCCTACATCTGCCTCGCAATACATTCGTACTCTAACTGGCTATGAGGAGAAGCAACCCTGGTCAATTCCGCGGAGTCTACCTGGCTTCAGTCGCGATTTTCTCATTCTTTGGCCCGTACCAGGTTGGGCATACGCAGCCTTGTCCCCCATTCACATCCCGGCAGCAAACAGCGGTGGAAGCACGAGGAGGGACCCTGAGCCCCGATGGATGGTAGCGACAGGCACCACCGAAGAAGTGTGGGCATATCGCGCTGGAAGCTTTTACTTTTCTACTTCTCATTCTCATCCTTCTCTGTATACTTTTTTCTGTACCTTCTTCTTTGTCATCCTCCCACTGTCTCTCGCCATCGTACTTCTGATCCGGACCGAAGCATCTCAGACAAGTCCTCCATTGCAGCCTTGAAGCCGCTCAGCGACTCGTCCGAGAGGGGCTCCGCCTCATTGATCGCGCGATTGTGCGCGGAGAACACCAGCACATGCTTTCATACAGTGGCTTCCCCAGCTCCTGCCAACAATTGCAACGTGGCTTTCGAGTCAGATTGCACATTCATGACCGTACGCTGGATGTGCAATGAGGAAAAGAAATAACACTCACTGATTGAAGCTGCACACAAGACGCAAGCCTCCACGGATCCATGGATGAACTGCGGGGCTTGCAGGCGCAGGTTTGGGGCCGAGACAGTTAGAGCATCCAAAAGGGTGGACTCCAAAGCTGTTGGACTGTTGAAGGTCTGTTGAGGGTGTCAAGCATCCTGTGGTTCAAGCGGCTCCTGTGTACCCTCCTTTTGTACAGGCAAATAATACGAATGATGATTGTGAATAGCAATAATACTACTGGTACTAACAGTAGTAGTAGTAGTAGTAGTAGTAGTAGTAGTAGTAGTAGTAGTAGTAGTAGTAGTAGTAGTAGTAGTAGTAGTAGTAGTAGTAGTAGTAGTAGAATGTCAACAGAAATCCCCACAATCCTCAAACGAAGTATTAAACTCAAGCCCACGCGCGCCTGGTCTGAGCCGGTCATATCCTCCGCTTGGGCACGACCTGGGTGGAGGGCGGAGGGGCTCTGCCGGGCTAGGGCTCTGCAAGGATCAAATCTGTGCCGCACAGAGAACTGCTGCCAGCCGCATATTACTGCGCTGCCCTGCCTCAGCTCTTTTTGCTTCAGGAATAAAGTCTGAAATGTCCAGCACAGGCAAGCTCAGCCTCAACAAATGGTGGCCGTAAGGGAAACAAACCACACTCCACCGTTCTCGAGCCCATCACGAACAGGTTTAGCTTCACGCTTCGGCACAGGACCGTCATCGCAACACGATGTCCGCTCAAGCATCCGAAGGCATCAACCCGAAAAGCAAGGCCCATGCCGTCTGCAGCGTTCATCACATCAGCATTGGTCACCTCAAGCAGGGCGAGTGTACTATACAACCAGGTAAACGCATGTTCGTGAAGTGGGATGCAACTAGGCGAACAGAGTTTCTCGCTGCAAAGTCTTAATGCCGCACTGAAGCTTTCGAGGGATCTCCCTCGCAGGCTTCAGATAGACGTGCAAACGTCCCGGCCACTGCCTTGTGCAAGTGGCCCACGCAGCTCTAAACCACGACGATGTGAATTGCCCGCTGCCCGGTGGGAGGGGGAATTTGCGGATTCCTCAAAAGCCAGGCGTTCTTGTTGTGGATTTAGCAAGAGCTCGTGGATGGGATGGCAATGTTCGAGCCGGCACACTCTTGGACTTCGGCGTTCTTGACACCGACGCAGTTCAGGCAGCCTTTGCCACACCACGAGCCCCAAAAGCAGCTCCACTTGCAGTTGGAAGCACCTCAGAGTTGAAGTCCAGTGTCACGTATGAGAGAGCTTACTCAACACGTTCGCTGTGCATCCAAGAGGCCATACTGGGCTGAAATGGAAAAGCAGCTTGCGCAACTTCTGGCGAGCTGGGTGTTGTCCTGGTCTGTGCTACCAAGAACCATGGACTGTGCTGCAGCATCAGTGTGGACATATTTACTACTCACGTCTGCTACGAGGCTTGCAGGATTGCACCAAGCTTCCACGAGACAGCGGAGAAAATCATTGTTGCGGAAGCCCGTGAAAATGTTGAAGCTCTTCTTGCCGCAGTCAGACAGGATGCGAGGGAAGCTGTTCTGCCCGGAGCCTGGGAGACAGCTGCTCAGATCTACTGGTTACTACTTAATCTAATCCGATGCTGTACTAAGGTCAAACAACACGAAAGTGGGAAGAAGCAGGCATCCTGCAAGCAAATATTGAATCCGGGCCACCACTTCCGAATGCCGTCATGAGGGTTTCGTCGGCTTTTGTGCACATGCCCTGGCCTGCAGCTTTGGCAGCTGCACCTTCTTGGGGATGTGTCGCTGCAGTGGCATTTAAGGCATTCGTTGCATTCTTGCCTGCTCCTGACATACGCACAGATCGGAAGGTTCCCCGGCTCTCCCTTTCAATTCTGCTAGGTGTTTTTCTAATTACTTATGGTGATGACCATGACAATTGACAAGTTGTATTACTAGTAGTACGTATTACTAGTAGTAGATTCGCAATTAGTACTTATACTATTACATGTGTGATCAGTGCCATGGTGGAGAAACCTCAGAAGCTCCTGGTGCTTCACGGAGGCCTTCTGCTTCGAGTCCGGTGAGGAGAGTCAGGAAGACCAGGCTCGCGAGCATCATCTTTTCACCTCGTAATGGTGTCATCGCTCATGGGTAAGGAAAACGGATTAGGCTTGTTGTTTTTTGGTTGGGTTTGAAGCTTTTTTGCTGGGTTTAAGGTTTAGCCTAGCAGTCAGACCCACCGATAAGCAAGACGAAGGGGCTGAACGAAGTTTAGGGTACCGAAAAGTCCAAAGAGTGCACGGCAATCTGGCATTACTGCCGAGGAGCGGGGTGAACAGTAGCTGTTCGCAGCCACAGTTTGTATGGCACTGATGCTGCAGAAGCGGCTGCGGTTTCCAGAGACATGAACCGCCAAACGAAGATGCCAGAACTCCACCCTACTCTTTCAGCAGCTTTGCATGGTCACTCTTACGCTGAGAAGGCGGCCCGCGTCTCCCGACCGTAGGCATAGTCACAGGTACATCCGCCAGAGGAGAACCTGACCATGTTTGTAACGTTTCCGGCGCTGGCTAGGAGGCGGACGGTGCAGCTCACAATATCAAAGCACATGGCCTACATTGGCCTACATCATCGGTTTATACTCTGAAAAATGACGCATGACAAATTCCGGCTGCGGGCCAGCAGGTACTTCGCGTCACGCTTGTCCCCTGAGGCAGGGCAGGCAGTACAGGCGGCAGAGCGCATCCTTCTGTTGGAGTAGTTTTCCACTTGAAGGCTCCTGAGGGCCTCGTTGGCACAACTCCCTGCCTTCGTGTTGAGGAGCTCCACCCAAGGCCTAGGCGACCACTCGCTTTCAGCTTCTTCCTTCATTGTCCGCGAGCGAGCTGTAGTACGACCGCGCTTTTGCTATAGGTAATTATTTAGGCCCCTATAGTACCCTAAGCAGCACAATCATCGTCACTGCAGAATCTGTTTCAACTTGTTAGCATGTCTCGCTGTGTCTTTTCTGGTGACATGCTTTGGTACCAGGCATCAGAACATACTAGTCGGGGCGAGATAGGTGTGAGAGGCGGACAAGCTCTTGCGAGCCTAAGTTGGCGACGTACGAGAGAGACGAAACCCCTGACCCATGGAAGTGGCCCGAAGCTGCGCATGCAGTCCTAAAGCTTCCTCGCAACTTCGGGGTCACACCTGACAAAACGACATCCAAAAGCACTGATCTCGAGCCTGCATCAAGCACTCGTGATGTCAGTCTGGAATCCCCAGCCCATCCAAACCTACAAGCCCACAAAGTGAGAACACTGAAGTCTTGGGCACAAACGCAACAGCTAGCAGCTTGAGGAAGAAGTCCTGCGACTTCTCTGCGGAGATGGCCTTCACATGGCGTCTCAAGGAGTAGACCTAGCAGCCAAGACCTCAGCTCACTATGCAGATCAGAATGGCTGCATTCGTAGAACGTGCAAGGACAAGGACCAGTGGCCTGCGGCCAGTGGAGGGAGAAGCATCGGCGATCTTCATCCAGCACCAGTGGGTGCCAGCTGCAAAGGAACATTTCGTGGTCTCAACGAAACACGAGGAGTGTGCAAAGACCTAGCTCGAACGGTCACCGTCAGCCTCAAGATAAAGCGCATCTGATGCTGGAATGCATGGGTCCTTTCATTGACAGTCGAACCCTCTATCCTACACGGCCTTCTGCGCGCACTTGTGGATGCTGCGGCTGACTATGGTGGCTTCGATAGTTAATAGGCTATTTAATCGAGCGAGCATTTTGAATCATCTCCGTCTCCGACAAGGATAACTCAGCATCTCGTAAGTGTTGACACAGCAGCAGCTACAGTACTGAGCTACGGTGGCCTTGTTGCTCTTGCTGCTTCTTGCTTGCTGGAGGGCCTCTTCGTCTGACTCCAGGTTCTCTGGGCATCAAACTAAGTCGCTGCACCATTAAAACCACCTGAATTTCTCAATGATCCCCGGCTCAACTTCATGGACTTACCCCACGCGAGCCTGCACCTGGCTGCGTGTTGTGTTCCACTAGGTCTTGAAAGAAAAGTGTTACTACAACCGGCTGCCCACTCGCTCACTCCCCTGATTTCCCACCTGCCCGGAGCTGCCGCTGAGTACTCTGCCAGCAGCCGCAGCGGGGCCTCTGACCGCGACCTGGGCGGTGGGACAGTCGCCGCCTGCATCCGGCTTGTTAAAGCGGTATTTTGCATTCACGGTTGTTAGTCGTCCCTCTAGAGCGGCCACGAACCTTGAAGCTTCCGTGTACCTTCTGCCAAACTTTCATGTCTGTGCTCCCGGTACTGTTGGCTTCTTTCGGGAGGGAACCCCACAGGCTCAGCCTTATCACCAACCTCGGGCTCTGAACTTCGGAGCTCTGCCTGATTTTTGCTGCTAAAGGTTTTAGGCTCAGGCATCGATGGATCATCAGCCCAGGCCCTCGAGCTGGGCCGTGTTTTTTTTAACAGACTCGCGATCGACAAGCCTGTGCCACTCTCAGCAAAGCTTCAGCGGCTTCCCGTATTAAGGCCGCTGCACACTCTCATCTTGTGTCGGCAGTTGGATTTCACACAATCTACGCACGAAGGATTTTCGTCGTCGGTGAAGCAAGGGTTCAGGCAGTGGTCCCGTTTGCAGCCTACCAACTCGGCCATGCAAGAAGCACAGTGGTCGCTGTAGCCGCGCTTCTGCATGCAATCCTTCGTGCATGGGAAGCCGGCATACCAAGGTCCGACGAACTTACAGGAGCGGCCACAGTGATTGAGGGCGGCATTAAAGCTCTTCTTTCCTCCACCCCTCCAGACCGTCATGTCGGCAGGGTTTCGGCAGCTGCCGCGAAAGAGCCCCAGCTCCAGCGTCTCAGAAAGGTCGCCATCATCATCACCGTCAGGGTCGTCAGAGACGCCCAGTGACGCCTCAAAGCTGCTCACCTTCATGCCTCGCAGCTGGTGCAGCACCAGGCTGCACTCCTCGTCACAGTCTTCCGACATGGCTGCGACGGCGACGTCTTCGCCGAAGGCACCAGCACTCAAGAAGCAGAACACGCAAAAAGTTGCAAAGGCCATGGCCATTGCTGACCTGATGGCAAACGCAAAGCGCTTCAGTCACAAAGGCAAAGTGGCAAAATGTGCTGAGCCAAAGGGGAGCCATGAATAAACTGAGTGAATGTTCAATCACTTCCTCATCGTCGTGTCCACAAAAAACTCCCGAGCTTCGCACGGTTCGAGGAAGTCACCTGCGAGACAAAGCAGGAAAGCAGCCACAAGGGCAACGAGCGCTGAGAGCACGCCTGATGGGCGAGGCCACCTCAGAGTCCCCAAGAAGGAAAACCAAAGAAGCGCTTTTGGCCTTGAGCCTTGGGATGGGCTGTTTTCCGAAGTCGAGTGAGAACTACTTTCGGGCCCAGATGCGCGTTTCCGAGCTTTGCATCCGCTCCCGAAGGCCCTTCGAAGCCGCCCGGCCTTGGGCCAAGGAAGGGGCATCGAGCAGTCAGCTGCTCTGTTGCCACTGGTTGTTGTTAGTTCTTGGTGCGATTCCATGAGGTCCCATGCTGCAACTGTGCAGAGAAGGCCCCTACTCACTCGTTAAAGAATGGAGAAGCAAAATCTCGGGCGGCACCCGAGCCTATCAATATGCCGTGAATTCAGGCCCCAGGCAACTCTGCGCTTCGCATGAACAACCAACGAAAGTTGCTTGACTTAGAAAAACTGAAGTTTCTGGCCCGCCTACGGCATGGAAGCGAACCTCACCTCCTTAATCCATACTTACCGCACTGACCAAAAAGTATCCCGAAAATGAAAGCTGGCTATGGTATACCACGCACGCAAAGTGTTCTGCGTGTGGCAGAGAACTCGAATTTGAATTGGCCGCAACTGCATATTGATTCATTTGGTTAAAGCAATAACAACAACAGACATGCGGGCAGCCTTCTCGCAGGCACTGCCACGACCAGAGCGAGAGAGAGAGAGCGAGAGAGAGAGAGAGAGAGAATGAGAGAGAGTTTGAGAGTTTGAGCGAGAAAGAAACAGCGAGAGAGCTTCAACTACCAACACAAGATCAGGAACCCAACATACATCGCATCAGCCAGCCGGCTTCCTCTTCGTCAGAAACTCAATTCATCTGGTGCAAGTTTCTGAGACCCCCACTCTATTAGCATGAAGGATCGAGTCGATCAACCCATCGCGCTTGCACATCAGCGAAGCTGCCAGCAGCTGCCAAAACATAAGCTTTGGTGTGGAAATGAGTGCGAGCCGCTTTTGGCAATGCCATCTCACTGACCATGATTTGTGGTTCTCCTTTCGACAACACCCGAAAGCTTGATAAGGGGCAGCGGCAGCACACAAAGATCGCAGATGCAACGCCAACTGCAGAAGGATTCCCCCGCCCCTCCGTACACCCCAAATTCTGCGCAGGCTCCTTCGGACGAACAGACTTGTGAGCCTCGAACAATGCCTACGGCAGTCTGCAGCGAGGCCCGTGGGGTCTTGTGCCCGCTCACAGCAGCGGCTTTCCCACCGCAACGGCATCCTAACAATGCGCATGTCCGACACAGCCCATGTAACACGAGCACAAGGAAGCCCGGGCAGCAAGCTGGGTGGTCCGAGTCCATTTCTTCCTGCAGGAGTCGGCATCAGCGTCACAGCGTTTGACTCGTCAGGCCCCTGCAAGTTTCAGAGTCAGTGTGAGCCTGCTCCACACTATGTACACAGCATCCGCGAGCCAAAGACAAGGTGCCTGCGCAAAGCCAGAGCAGGGAAGTCAGCACGTGACAGCATAATGCGAAGCCCATCACTCCTCAGACTGTACACGGGACCATGACCGTGACAACAGCGACCTCTGTCGAACGCAGTCCTAGCAGCTACTTTTCAACAGTGCAGGCGAGCCAGTGGAGTTTCATCTTGCAGCGGCTGAAAAGTGTGAAAAGTGCTTTGTCAAGGCTGCACACCGTCAGGTCTGGGTGGCATCACTGTCGCATCATGAAACAGCTCCCGCAGCTGTGCAACGGGAGTGCGGCTTCTACCTGGCGATCTGCCGCTCAACATCCCTGGATAGTTCTGTGTAAACCTTCGAAAGAATCGGGTAAGGATGGGTAAGCATGGTTAGTAGTAACATGTAGTAACATTGGTTGCTGTGAATTCTGCTTGTGGTTGGGTTGCAGGGGCGGTCTTGAATCGTGTGAGTCAAGTGCGTTATTTGAGGCGGCAAATGTGCGCTTCAGAGAAACGACATGTGAATGATGTCGGAGCGCATTAAAACGGCGACGATCACAATGAGACTAGGAAGAAACCCCATCACGAAAGTCTGCTCGCACGGGTGTCACTTCCCCATATTATTATGCACTGGAGCTCCGTCCTACGAGTACCAACCCTCTGCACCCCAGCAAGGACTCAAAGTCCACTCCATCACATGGACCTGTCTGCAGCTTCGGCCACTTCCTTCTCCAGCTGCAAGGCTTCCTTCCCGGCCACACCACTCAGAATCGAATGATAAAGACATAGCTTCGGCGTAAACTATGGAGACTACAAGGGGATCTTGTTTTGTCAGACAAGGCCAGAGCCCTACAGGTACTTCCAACCTCGAAGACTGGGCTGAATTAAAACAGCCCATGCGCTTGCGGCCTCTTTCGTGGCTAATCCGTTAATTATCTAATCTTATATTGAGCTTATGCCTGTTTGGGTGTCGCATTCTACACATTTGTCAGAAGATTCACATTGGAATCTGCCTTCTATTCTAACCCATAGTCATGCTATTTGCCGAAGCCAGCGCTTTGGAACTGGGCGACGGCACCTGGAATGCCGTGGGTCTGCGCTTCTTGCGCTTCAACCGCTTCGCCTCCTCAGCAGGTAAAGGCGGGATTCGGATCCCTGGAGGGGTGAGACAGAATGCGCGCAAACATGCTGCACGAGACAATCCCACACCCCTTCCAACTGGAGCTACTCCTCTTTGATACCAGCAAGGCAAGGATAGAAATCGTCTGGGCGCCCTGCTCTTTCTGCCATCGCCTCTTCGGTGAAGTTTGGATCGACCCTCAGGTGCCACCGCGGGTGAAAACGTTTCTCGCGCTAAGGCCACGTCACACCCGACCCAAACCCCGGACAAGGCTCCACAATTTCTCCAAAGCAATCGCAGGCTCAGGCGCCCGTGTTAGGCCCTGGGCCGGCCATCTTAAAGAAAGACTCGAGGGACGGGGATGCCGCGTTTAAGCGTAAGGAGGCATCTCCTCCTCTGGCCCCGAAGTACTGCTCCACGTAAAGCTGCATTCCTGGCAAAGCCCAATTCCGTGAACCCAAGAGCTTCAAGCCCAGAGCTAAATATCAAGCCCCTTCAATCCCCGAAGCTCCAACAAACCCGAACCTTCGGTTTCGGTAGACCCAGAAACTTGATCGGACAAGGAAGACCAAACCCTCCCAAGTCTTCTCCTGCCATCCCCTCGCCGTAGATCGGCTCATTCACACTCAGGAGCGGCTTACCAGACCTTCGATGCATCGTGATGAACATCACTTGTTCTTCTTAACAATACCCAATGAAAAGACCACAGTTGTTATTATGATAAGGAATAAGGAATTTTGGCTATATGTGGTGGTTGCTGATGTCGCTATCACTACTAGTGCTACTAGTACTACTACCACCACCGCTACTACTACTGCTACGACCACTGCTGCTACTGCTGCTACTACTACGACGAGGACTAGTACTACCAGGACTACTACATCGTTGAGTCTCCCAGTCACCCGCCAGCCCGAAGGGGTGGCATCCACTTGGCAGCGGCGATCTCGCCATTGTGCCTTTTTCAAGGATCGCACGAATTTCCAACAAGAGATGTAGCTTGCCAGTGTAATGCGTGAGCTTATGTGCCAGGCACCCTCTTAAAAGTTGCCAAGGAACACAAGTGCCAGGCCGGTGGACAGCATGTCTATCTCCAGCTCGCCACTCCCATTCCCAGATTCCTCCACTGCCATGAAGCCCAGACGATCGCCGCTTTTCAACTGCTGAGGCTCCCAAGGAAGGCGGATCTCAGCATGTGGCCCTCCTCCACTCAACTGGAAATACGCCCCTGGCTCAAACATTGGACGGCCTTGCTCGGTTGGAGAATTCTCCTCGAGCAGCGGCCCTTGGCCCACCAGCATGAGCTTCCAGGCGAAGAGGTCGGAATGGATGGTGTTGATGATGCTGACTGGGATGCCACCACTTTTTGAACTCACAAGAGCCATACTGAGGATCTTGTACTTCTGTAAATCCAAGCGATCGAAGCGAAGCTCCAGCTCTGCATAGATGCCCTGAAATCTGGAGCAGAGGCCGAAGCCAAGGATGCGGGGCATTAGGAGCTGGTGCGCGTGTGCGTTGCAATGGGGCCCTGTGCTCACAGTTTCCAGCTGCTCCCGCCTCAGTCATTGAGGCTTCCAACTCAGGCTCAGACGATGGATGCAACAGCCTACAAGTAGCTTTTGAAGAGGGTTCCCAAGCCTTGGATGCATGCCAGTTAGGTCCTGACGCTCTCGACCGAAATCCAAACGAGACCTCAGCCCGGGCAGGTCAAAGCTGATCACCAAGCTCCGTAGTCGAACACTGTCTGGGCTGTGGATCTCACGATCGAAATACATCGGCCGCGCTGAAAAGGTCCGCAGTGCCAGTAACAGTAAGCCGACGACTTTTCGACTCAGGCAGTTCTGTCCATCCACGAGTGGCTGTGGTGGCCCAAAATGTTTTCGCTGCGTACTCTGCCTCTCCGAATCGAAGGACTCGGGACCCAAGACTGGCACTACCTTCCAGCTCTCTCCGTTCCAGGCAATGCTGCACAAACGACGGCAGCACGGTGCCAATCTTGCAAAATCAGCCCAATCTTCAAGAAGGAAGCCGGCTACGAGACACAGCAGAGTGCCCGACAGCATGAAGAGTCCGCTCGTGGTCGTCGAGGTCGGCATGTTGTAGACGTCGCTTGGACTTGAGCTCTGCGATGGCCCCCCGAGTGCTCTGAGCGCATCCTTCCAGCGATGCAGGGCCTGACATTGCCCTACGCTAGGCACCGGGACTGTACTGAAGAACTGTCGGGCACAGCGATGATAGAAGAAGCGCGCGAGTCTTTCAACGTTCTTATCGGCTCCTTCCTTCCCAGGTTTGAAAGACCCAGGAGACATCAGGACACTGTTCTCATAGTTCACGAGGATCAACATGGAACCATGCAGGTGATCTCCACACTGTGCCCTCTGACCCTCCCGGATGCCGGCCGCAAGTTCTGTCAGCTTCTCACTCAGCCTCTCCTCCACACTCCGTCCCGGCTCCTCCTGTAGGTCCCTTTGCAGGTTTTTCTGAAGAATGTTGGCCACAAAGTTGTTCGCCTCGGTCAGGAAATGCCTCTGAGCATCAGGGCGCAGGAGCTCCCAGCAGCACCGTAACACCTTCTCAAAGCCTTCCCTCCCTTTCGGATCCTCATAGCGATCCTCCGTGTCAGAAGGCTCCTCCGAATCGGCCAGAGTTTTGGCTGCGCCACCCTTAACACCTCTCGCTTGGCTCTTGCCGCCCTTGCCTCCCATGCCACCCTTGCCGCACCAGGCAAGCCTGGTACCAGGCAAGCCTGATACCACCCAAGCCTGGTTCTTGCGGCTTGCCCTGGCCCTTCGCCTGTCGTTTTCCGCGGATGAATCAATCGACAGCAACGACACCAGGCGCACCCAGAGCTGCAAGCTCTCCTGCAGAAAGTCATGGGGGCTTCGTATACATGGCCGCAGCTCGCCTGCAAGCTTTTGGAGAGCCTCCGGGAGGGCATCTTCCAAGGGCCTAAAAAACGGGGCTCGACAATCGGAATAGGGTTTTGGGGTGTATTAAGTGTATTATATGATTCTAAGTTATAAGGAGCGCCAACATTATAAATTAGTATAGGTAATTATTAAAGGCCCCTATCTTAATAGGGAGCGCGTGCTGTGTTTGGTAACTCTGTTTGCCTCGAGGTATTTCGCTTGCAGTAGTCCGCGGCCTTCGCCCCGAGGATACTCGGGCTCCAAGCTCTGGCCCTCGAAATCAAAAGGACTCGCCTCGAGCGATTCACCTTGCGAAATTTGAGGTGTATGACGCTGGTACGGGAGCATAGGGATCCAACCTGAAAGCTAAACACCTAAACCGGAACCGCACATAGTAATATGATGCCGTAGGACTGTCGTAGCTACCGGATCTTCTTGCAGTCGGAAAAGTCCGTTGAAAAAAAAAGCTAAACGAAACCCTCCAGAGTCCGCCTTCCCGCAGGCTGGGGAGTGGCTCTCCCTTCCCATTTGTCCGCAGGAAGAAGCACAGGATTTTGTCGGACTGTAAGTCGCTATCACTGAAGCGCTCAGCATCTTCGAGCTTTCCGAAACGGCACTTCTGATGTCCAAAGGCTTGCGCGGCTGACTCAAAGTAGCCCAGCTCTTTGAAACACCAGTCGATGTCAACGCAAAGCCAGTGATCATCCTTCAGTTTCTCGATGACCAGGTACTCTTCCCAGCTGCCGTGCATGTGCAGCAGGCAGCAGCATGGCAAGTCCATGGGCAGTGTGGCAGACATCACGTAGCAAAACTACGAATCGATGCGGTGTCTGTGCGTCCTATTTACGAGAAGCATGGTCTTGCAAAAGATCAACAGGAAATCCCCCGTGCTGATATAGCGGAAGCCGACATAAGAGTTGCCAACTGTCGACAACAGGTCAAGTCCGGCTTTTGCACAGCAGCGCCAAGGCCCCAGCTTGATGGCCTTTCGTAGCTTCCGCTTTTCATCTGCCTCCTTCTGCTTCTGACCTTCCTGGCACAAGACGGTCCTTTGCTGCAAACTTTCTCGAACAAACCATACACCCTCGCCGCAGTAGCTGGTTGAGGCTGATTTTTTTTCGTGCTGTCGCTGAGGACTCGCTGCCAGCTGCATAGGCGGTCCCGCCTTGTAGGCCCAGACAGAGAAGGCAACCCAGCTGCCAATCACCACCTGAATTGCTTTGATGGCATCCATTGAGTTTAGGGATGGGCTCGCATACCTGTACTCGTTGACAACGCATCGCGCATTCCATGGCTGAGAGGATCCCTGCAGCCCTCAGTAGTAGCCATACGAATTTATGCTCCACCACCGGAGAGGGCGGCAAACACACAACACACAGACACAGAGACACACACACACACACACACACACACACACTTGCAAACTCTCTTGCGAGAGTAGCTAGACAAGGGTTACCATCACTTGGAACAATTAAACAATTCATGACTGCTGCAGGTACGTTTACACGAGCACCGAGTGAGGGTCTTCGTTGGCCCGGACCGCACTCGGGCTCTCCGGGCCCCCTGCTCCCTTTGATCTCAGGGGTTCACACACACAACTACTCCTCATTTTGAGGAGTAGTAAAGTTGACATGCACTTCGTCGTCTTAGGGTCACGATGACGTTTGGCAGGTCAGCGCCGCAGACACGTCATGGTGCCCTGAAAAAAGTGTCGTCTGGGGTAAGGGTCCTGCCCCATGGAGGCTTGGGTCCTGGCCTCTTGCACTGCGTCGTCTGGGGTAAGGGTCCTGCCCCATTGAGGCTTGGGTCCTGGCCTCATGACCCCTGCTCCCTTTGATCTCAGGGGTTCACACACACAACTACTCCTCATTTTGAGGAGTAGTAAGGTTGACATGCACTTCGTCGTTTTAGGGTCACCATGACGTTGCGCAGGTCAGCGCCGCAGCCACGTCATGGTGCCCTTGAAAAAAGTGTCGTCTGGGGTAAGGGTCCTGCCCCATGGAGGCTTGGGTCCTGGCCTCTTGCACTGCGTCGTCTGGGGTAAGGGTCCTGCCCCATTGAGGCTTGGGTCCTGGCCTCATGACCCCTGCTCCCTTTGATCTCAGGGGTTCACACACACAACTACTCCTCATTTTGAGGAGTAGTAAGGTTGACATGCACTTCGTCGTTTTAGGGTCACCATGACGTTGCGCAGGTCAGCGCCGCAGCCACGTCATGGTGCCCTTGAAAAAAGTGTCGTCTGGGGTAAGGGTCCTGCCCCATGGAGGCTTGGGTCCTGGCCTCTTGCACTGCGTCGTCTGTGGTAAGGGTCCTGCCCCATTGAGGCTTGGGTCCTGGCCTCATGAAAGCAAGGGATCATTCAAGAAATCATTCAAGAAGTCATTCACGAAGTCATTCAAGAAGTCAATCAAGTTGGAAGAATCAAGAAGTCATTCAATTTATCAGCAGCATTCAATGTGCAATGCAATCAGAGTGCTGCAGATCAGGATAAAAGCATTCAGTGTATAGATCTGTACAATCAAGAAGTCAAGCAGTTGCTACGCCCGGCCCTTTGACAGAATGCCGGTCGAGAACACACTTGCAAACTCTCTTGCGAGAGTAGCTAGACAAGGGTTACCATCACTTGGAACAATTAAACAATTCATGACTGCTGCAGGTACGTTTACACGAGCACCGAGTGAGGGTCTTCGTTGGCCCGGACCTCACTCGGGGTCTCCGGGCCCCCTGCTCCCTTTGATCTCAGGGGTTCACACACACAACTACTCCTCCTCATTTTGAGGAGTAGTAAAGTTGACATGCACTTCGTCGTCTTAGGGTCACCATGACGTTTCGCAGGTCAGCGCCGCAGCCACGTCATGGTGCCCTTGAAAAAAGTGTCGTCTGGGGTAAGGGTCCTGCCCCATGGAGGCTTGGGTCCTGGCCTCTTGCACTGCGTCGTCTGGGGTAAGGGTCCTGCCCCATTGAGGCTGGTCCTGGCCTCATGACCCCTGCTCCCTTTGATCTCAGGGGTTCACACACACAGACACACACACACACACACACACACACCCACACACACACACGCGCACTCGGCAGCACCAGGCTGCACACTCTTCTGCACTTGCACTCGCTTGTCATACGTAGACTCTCGGGCTCGCTAAACATCCCCTGGCACTGGGTCAGGCACCCACGTCCACAAACATCCCAAGCATGAGAAGTAATGAAGCAATGTACGGTCACTAATTGAAGTGAACCATATGCAGGTGCAGCTCCAACCTCTCTTTCGGTACTGACGCGTCAAGAGTTGTGGACTGAGATCCAGGTGGCAAATTATGCGCTCTCAGCCCTCAGTCATTCGTCGCTGGTACGGCTCCAATTCCAGGGCTGTGTCATGTCTAAGAAGCACTGGGCTTGGGCCCCTGCCACAGGCATGACAAGCAGGAGGTTGCCCACCTCGAAACAAGTCCCATGGTGCTGCGTCGGCCCTGTCTTGAAAATTTTCCATGGGCCGACACGCCAGCGTGCTTCGTGAAACCTCACGGGAAGCCCAAGCCCCACGCAATGGGATCAAGCCAGTCCGGAAGCTTCGGCAGGACCTCTCACCAGTCTGGATGCTCTCCCGTGCTCAGCCCGACAGGCTCACTAAAGCTGGAAGCCCTAGTAACCCGAGTGCAACTGATGCATTCATGCCTGGCTGAGCACCTCTGTCTCTCGAGCGTTTTCGGCAGCCTCCCAAATGTTCAAGCTCAAGCACAAGATGCTCAACTGCGGCAAGCTCGTCATTTCTCATACTCACCTCCGTTTCTACATACGTCTGAAACTCTGGCTCGTGTGAGGTTGCTGGACTTTGCAGATATTCACCTGCTCCTCTTATAATGACACCTCCGAGGCAGATACACGCGAACCGATGTACTTTCCAGTGGCAAACTTACCTTCTTATGCACATAAGTTGAACACTCTCAATAACTGCCAGCTGAAGAAGAGAAGAAACAGGGAGAGGCCCCTCTGCACGCCGTGCCACTACGACCATTTTTGGTTCTTCCCACCTCAGTCTGCGAATACCCTGGCATCTAAAGCTCGGGGCCTCCAGCAGTTCATCGCCAGTTGGGATCTCCCCAGGCTGAAGATCAGCCCGTCGTGGGAGCCGAGAGCTGCCTACCAAGGGCACCGCTGCTCTGCGACAAGCAGCGCATGCCCGGCATGCCCGCATGACCTCTGCCAGCGCGGTCGATGCCTCTGGGGAACACGAACACCTCGCGCGCAGGCCAGCTGTTGCAAGAAGGAGCGTCAAATCTCCGTGTGCATGTTTAAACATGAACCGTATTCACTATTCACAGTACCGGTCATAATCGCGAGCCTGTGCTACGTGTATCTGCAGCCAGCTTGTTCGTCCGGTTGTACTTGTGAGCAGGCTTTCCGCTAAAACCGGCAAGCTCTGTCGGGCCTCCGTGCAACAAACGAGGAGCGTGAGTAGTGCCGCTGGCACCAGGCACCAGGCGGCTTCCCGCCTGGAAGCAGGCACGGGACATCGCGAAAGACCTGAAAGCGCCTTCTTAAGAACGGTGGCTTGTCCGGCACGTGAAACTGCACACTTTGATGGGGCCCGTTATTCAGGACAGACCGACCTGTAGTCGACTGCCGAGTTTTTGTTGTTTACAGCTTGTTGGAAACAGTCCCCTCGGCCTTCGCCTTCTCGAAGGACTCTCCCTCAAATGCCACATCTTTAAGAGCCACTGAGACGGCTGCAGCAGCGAGGCACGGACATGACATCTGAGATTCGCCGCCTGAAAACGTGCTTTAGAGTCGAGGTCTAGGTGACGGTCGCCAGGGCAAGAGGCCTAACCAACCCGTCACAGCTTTATGCCCCGGAAAAAGAAGCGGCAGCGGAGGGCACCCAGCACGATGAAGACGATGCCCATCACCATGACAGCCTCTGGTTCCGGCGTGAGACGAGGCGATCCCGGGTTGGCAACAGCATTCAGCAGCTCTGGCTCGGATACACCTGTTTCACACGCTTGAAAGGCGAGGACCTCGTTGACGAGTCGGTCACGAATCAGGTCGCGAGCACCAATCGCGATCACGCCCAGCATTATCAGGACCTGAAGGGCGCAAGGCCCAAGCCTATCTAAACAGTTGAACCGACACCAAGATCAAGATACATCGCGATATCAGCACACATCGGCTCGTCACTTGGTTTTTGGCCAACCCGGGCTACGAGTACTCTCCCTTACACGCAGCTCCTCGGCAGGCCGGCGTATGCCCCAAAAGCATCTGGGTCCCCGTCAGCAGCGAACAGCACCAGCCGAAGATTCTGTTCCTGCCCACTCACTCTCAAAAAGGCATCAGCCCACCTTCTGAACTCGAGTCGCGCACTGCCAAAAAACCGCCTCGAACTGCTCACAACTGCAGGCCCGCATGAACTTCCGCTTCCTGGAAGGGAGGTGTGGGTGAAAACGGCGAGGTATGCAAAATGCTTCAAGACCCTTTTTTCCTGGATCTCTTTAAACCTGGATCTGGATGCAGCTCTTTAACGCGCCCCTACCAGCCCCTGAGACTGAACGGCGCACTTGCGGTGCATCTGGTAGCGCTCCACCGTCCAAAATCGAATGTCCTCGACCTGAGCTGTGCGCGAGGCACCAAGATGCGCAATTAGAGAGGGAAGTTTCCTCTGAAGATGGGCTGGTGGAGATAAAGCGTAGGCTGGGAACAAAAACCATCAGCCCCATTCTCATCCCAGGCTGAATTGTGCCGATGGACCCGCACCTTCCCTGGGAGCCACAACACTCTTGCAAAGACTTTCCGAAGTCTGAGCATGGGATTCCAAGCTAAGGCGGTTCGGAAAACAGCTAGCAGCTAGACTCGCTAGACATCCCCTGAACCGAAGGACTTCCATTGCCTTCGCCTGTGGGCTCCCAAGCGTGGAAGCCCAAACCCAAACTGCAGAGGGCTCTGTCGCTGGGCTCACTGCCGCTATAGGCCGGTCGTCCTTGGCACGGATTGGTGATGCGATTTGTGAGAGCCGTGGTTCTGACGCATGATTCCTCTCCGACTATGCCGCGCCATGCCTGTCTTCGAACTCTCTCAAGCTTGGATTGACTGCAAAAAGCCACATTTCGGCTGTTCCTAGTGTTGCATGTCTGGTCGTTCTTTGGTAAGCTGATGTCTGCAGAAGTGGTCTTCTCCGGTGGAGCCGGTCTTCCGCACACTCCTGATGTTTGGTCGCATCATAACAGTTTGTTGACAGGTGTAGCATTCGGCAAAATGCAGCCACTGGCCTCAAACTGAGGGAGGTAGGCCCGTACACAAGCACAGTGCATCTTGTCAGTCCAAAAGCACACGTAGACTCTAGACGAGAGAACAAGGAGCCAGCCTTAGATGGAACCCACGACCACAACATGGAAGACCACTGGGCTGGAACATGCCGACACGACACGAAGGTGGAAGGGATGAACGGAAGACGGGGCTCATGGAGCCACTCGCAAGACATGGCACACCCCTCTTGCATCGTATTCGAGCTCGCCTTCTAAGGGGAGTATGTACATGGCACTTAGGACTGAAGCCCTTAACTCGGCACCCACGCCACTTCGGGTTCCGGCACTTCCTCTTCAACAGGCGCCTCCTTCGCCTTGGGTCGAGAAAGCGATCTTCTGCATATTTGTTGAGGGGTTTGAGTGGCATCGGAGATGCTGTCACAACTACTGTCGCTCGCCCCCTGGCCGTCGAAACTTACACGGCAGCTGCCATTATTGTAACATCATGCCTCAACATGGTTGGCAATAGTGCCACCATCCCGACCTGCATGTTGCCAGCGTGATCGCGACGATGATTTCATGATGGCCTGTTTCCGTGGGTTCGAATGACCGGCTGACTCAACATGCAGAGGAGCAAATGCAAACAAGCCGATGCAGAAGATTCTCCCATGCTAACGGATGTACCTATCTGTGTATGTATGCATGCATATATATATATATATATATATATAGGTATGTATGTGCGTGTGCGTGTCTACTAAACCTACAGAAATATGTACATAAATATACATGTACACTGTATTACCAAGAACATCCGTACACGTATGTGTTTTGGTGTATGTATATGTACATGTATCATATCATGCTGCTCCAGAATGTGGACTCTGTTCTCAGAGCGCGATAAGCACCCTGCCAGCGGCAGTGGTGGCACTACCGGGCGGCCTGCGTCCACAGTTCATGGTTGGTTCGAAGCGCCGAGCGTTGCACATGGCTACCACAGCGACTGCCGTCCACTGAAACAGCTCTCCTGCAAGGCATCGCAATGGCCAGGCCTTGAGTCACACGCGGCCTGCAACCGTCTCCGGACTCAACCTCGAGGGCCACGGCTGCTGCGATCGCAAGCGCGGACTCTCTCACACACACACACACAGACACACACACGGACAGACACACACACACGCATTTTCGCATTTCGTGGCAATGGGTCCGGTCGGACGCAGCCGATGTTCGGCTTGCATTAATTAAAGGGTGAGAAGGGAAAGTGGAGCCGAAGACAATGGGCAGTTGGCCAGGAAAAGTCCATTAGTTCGGCTCAGGCTGTGGGGCGCGAGGGAGGTCAGAGCCCCGAGTGCAGGGCAGTCAAGTCCAGACACAAGAAGGACAGCTCCAGCGCCATGGGTCCACAGATGCAGAACCCCTCGGACAAGGTCACCGAACAGTCGAAGCCTATGCAGACTGGCCTCAAGACTTGAAAAGGACCGTAGAGGGGAAGGAGGCTGAAGTGATGAGAGGATGTGCCTAACATCACAGACGACGACAGCCTCGGCGGCGCATTGGCAGAGTGGTCCGAAGTCAAGTAGGGACGAATCGGCAATGCAAGCAAGATGGGTACGGACAGACACCTCAGGCATGTGCAAGGAGAGTTCAACCCGATCAGTAAAGACAAGGGAAACCTCGATCCGAGCTCCAGACCAAGAGGGAAGGACTGCATGGTGGAAATCAAGCCATGGTAAGACGGTGGAGGCATCACGAAAGGTGCTGATGCTGGCCGCAGGAGCAACAATGTGAGGTACCAACCACTCAACGAGGTCAACAGACAAAAGGAAACGCGCAGCTTTAGTGTGCCAGCTGGCCCACTGCACCGGCCATTCCTCATCCTGAGAAAGTAGGTCGTGAAGACAGTCATGCCACGCAGTGGCTGTTGCTCGTAGCCTAGTGCGCTGCAAACACACAGTGCAAAAGGCGAACCGAAACTGTTCGAGGAGGGCAGCATATGAATCAGCTCCATCCTCAGGATGGCATAAGATGGTTTCAAGTCGCCCAAGTACCTCCTCGGAGGGCCTGTCCGGTTCCTGAACGAGCGGTTGGAAACTCCAGGGCTTGGAGGGTCCGGAGGCCTGCATGACTGGAACAAGCGAATCATCCCCGGTATCAAAACGCCTGGATCCACGACCGGGAAGGGGCTGAACCGCATGCTCGGCAGCAGTGAGAGCATCACGACAGCTGCGGTTATGTCGCAAATGGTTGCAAAGCCTGCCATTCGATGCAAAAGTCCGCAGACAAACAGGGCATTGGGACCCGTCGGCGAGATGCCGCTCAGGGCGAATACGCCCATGGCGTTTGAACGCATGATGAGACCATGCCCGAAGATCAGCAAAGCCCTGTTGACAAATAGCGCAGATTTCATTGCTCGGAGCAACAGGTTGAGCTATCGGGGAGCAAGTTGCTCCAGCTTTGGTGAGGGCACGCAAGACATGGCCATGGAACAGTTGGACCTCGGCAATCCACCGATCCTCAAGGAGTGTGAGCTGCCGAGCTCGACGAATCCAGGACTTCCATCTCCCTGGAGAATTGCGAATCACGTGGAGGCAGTCCTCCCAAACGAGCGGTCTGCCGGAGTGATCGGTGCGCTTTAAGCACTCTATGAGCCACTGAACGGAGCCTTCGGCAAGCCGAAGCCATGCTTCCTCAGCATGCAAAATGGCCCACAGCTCCCCGGGAGCTAGCCTCACAAGGAGAGCTAAATGTCGAAGTCGCTCAATGTGTACAAGTGTCCCAGCTTGAGGAATCCGAGCAAGTGCAAAGACAAACCCGTGAGGCAGGTGGCAGGCCTGCTCGAAAGTGTAGGAGGGCTTCAGCATAATGCGTGCCATTTGGAGGAGAGCATGCTGAATTGGAGCAAGATCATCTTTGCCATACACAGGCCATGTCCCGGAGGCAAAAGTAAGTGTCGAGAGCACAACTGACTCAAAGATGATCGCTTTGTCCCGGGTCGAGACAAAAGCAGACCCAAAAACACGTTTCTGGTGCTTACGAAAAGCAGTCCAAGCATGTCCGACACGGGTTTTAATTTCGGGTCTTAAAGCTCCGCTATGGTGCACTATCCCTCCTAAGTGGCAGTATTTCGGTACTACCCGAAGACGGGATCCAGGCCACATCTCAGAGGGAATGTCTAGGCTCGGGCCAATGCCGGCAAGGGCCTGGATTCGCAGGGAACGAGCTCCTTTCCCACGAAGGGAGAGAACAGTCTCAGTTTTGCCCGGACCCAAGTTCGGCATCAAAATGGCCCGAACACATTCATCAAGCATCGTTGCAGCAACCCGCCGAGTACCCTCAAGTACAGCCGAGGCTGAGGATGAATAGTAAAGGAGGGCACAGTCATCCATCCAGGTCACGTCAGCAGGAGATTGAGTCTCAAGTCCAGAAGCCTGACCCTTGGTGAGAGACGCCTTCCATTCATCATTCCATGCAAAGCGACATTGCAAATCAAGATCCTGGAGCCTCCGCCTGATGCGAGCAAGTACCTCCGAAAAGAGGAAACTAAAAAGGAGATCTGCCAAATTATCGCCGGGTCTTGTACCCCCTCGGACTGAGGCAAGCGAAGATGTGCGTTCCCAAGTGAACCAAGTGTCACTTAAGACCTCAGTTAGGGCCCCAGAAAGCCACGGATCGGCACCTGAGTCGGCAAAGATAGGGGTGTTCCTAACGTAGTCCTGTAGGCGGCTAAAGGCATCCTCTGGGAAGCACAAGGTGCGCAAGATGCCGACGACATGTGCATCATCGAGAGGGCCTCCCGTCAGCAGTGGTCTGACAACCCGATGGAAGGCCTCCTTGAGGTCTAAAAACACAACTGCGCTGGAAAACCCCCTATCCTGACAGTAGCTCTGAAAGGAGCGTACAGTGTGGTTTGCCAACTGGACCGGATAACCGGGTCTGCCGCCGATTTGAAGGCTGCCAGCAACAGAATCAAGAAAAGGGGCGGCTTTGCGGCGAAGCGCGCTGTGGAAGGCCTTTCCAGGCGCGCTGGAAACCAAAATTCCTCTGAAGGACTCACACTGCCGCATGGAACCTTTGCGTTTCCAAATGGCAAAGAGGGAACCTCCCTTCCAGTGAACCGGCTCAGCAAGGCGATAAGATGCCTTGAGGGCAACTTGGTACAGAGGGAGAGATATAGAGCTGGCTTGCAAGTGAAGAAGATCAGCGGGGATGCAGTCGTTCCCTTGGGATTTGCCAGTGGGAGACCGCCTCAAGCAGTCCTCAAAGAGACAACGAGAGGGAACAATCTGATGATCAAGAGTGAGATCAGACAGATCCTGGGTGGTCTGACGATGTCGGCACTGTCTAAGGAGGGCCTCCGGTGTGGTGGGCCCTCCATCCTCAAGCTGACTAAAATGTCGGATCCACCGATCGGTTGCTTGAGAGTGGTCCCCGGCAACGGATCCGTCCTCAAGCTCAACAACCGGGAGGGAAAGCGT